TTTCAGCGCTCGTCACGCACTGCACCCAGTGACGGCACGTCTCGGATCGAATCCTCGGTTTGGTCTGGAAACATCGCTTGACTTTCTCGGATCGCCACATCTAACGCAGTCTTGGACACGACTTGCTTGGCGGTCTTCTTGGACGGACACTCGTGGGTGGCGACCACGCGACCGTTTAGGATCGCCGACACCCGGAATAGCTGAATGTTGTTGGGGATGTCAGAGAGATCGGTGATGTCGAAGTGAATCTACAAGGGTGGCATGGTGAGTCTCAAGTTGAGATTCTCGAGGAAGGGCGTACGTGGAGTTTGCCCTGCGAGTGCAGCTGGTTCAGGTACATCGATGGAGAGGCGTTTTGGTCGCGGAGAAAGATCGCGCTCGTGTACGTCATCTGAACGGGTGCTTCCGGTTGCTGCCGAAGCTTTGTGTGAACCATCGAGTAGTCCAGTCCCAGAATAGTCTCGAGGTCGTCAGGATGCGCCGCAAGGTACGCAGCGTCTTCTGCGTGCAGGGTCCCGGTCGTGTGTCGGTCGTACCACATCTTGAGGATGGCCACGTCGGTCGCAATTGCTTGCGCGGCTTTCTTGTTTGGTGCTTGGGCCGTCGCCAGGCGCGTTTTCGTCGACAAGTTGGTCACAACACACTCGTATAGAGGCGGCTCGCCATTCTCGACGTCGAAGAGGGATGTAAAGTCGATCGAGACCTCGATATGAAGCGTCAGAGGTTTGGCGAAAGATTTGCACAGACTGTCGTACCTGTTCTTTGCTTCGCTGAAAGTACATGTTCAATCGACTCGCGGGTGTTTTCGGGCTTGTGGGAGCCGGAAGCGCGACAAACCGTGGCTTGTACTTGGCCTCCTCGAGTGCCCGCGCGGCCTCGGCATTCTCGCGAACGAGATCAGCTTTCTGCCGAAGGAGCTCAGTCTCTTTTGCCACGCGTGCTTCGACACGGCGTTGGAGGACCTCGATGTCTTGAAGGACTTTGTGGCACATCGCGTCGTTCGGGTTTGCATCCAACGCTTTCTCCGCTGCTTGCTTCGCTTCGTCGTACCGATGCTCCCACAAGAGGACTTTAGAAAGACAGTACCACGCTTTACCGTCCGTGGGGCTCTGCGCCAGGGCCAGCTGGGCGTACTCTTGTACGGTTGGCCATGCCTGCAGCTTGATGCCACAGATCGCAGCGTTGGTGCAAGATGTAACGAAAAGTGACGAAAAGGCGGTGGGGGACCGTGCCAAGTGGGGTTTGAGGACTTCCGCGGCATTTCGAAACGCTTTCAACGTTTGCTCGAATCGCTTGTGGGCAAAGAGTTCTTTGCCCGTCTGCTTGGCTGTCGTCGCGACACCCACGATGGACTCATCGTCCATGCGATTGAGTCCGTTCTGAAGGGCGTCACTAAAGCTTGTCTGTAGAGTGTGGTCCTTTGTGGCGGCGTGAGGTCCAAACATATCTGCCCGGTCTTGCAATCGACTCAACACTTCACGCGTCTTGGAATCCCAAATCCAGTCTTCAAAGGACCGCGATGTGTCGTTCAAGAATGCTTCGAGCATCTTTTGGACAGGTTCATAATGGATGACGCGCTTGAGGAGGTTCTGGGTCCGCTTGTCCACCTTCGTGAGTGCTTCCACCAGTTGCGCATGCATCACCATGTTCTTCGTGTCAAGCAAAATTTTTTCGCACCGCTATCGGCCAAACCATACTATGACATATTAGAAAATATTATGCATTTTGAATTCCTCCAACCAAATACTAGTACTACAGTATGTCGATTTTGCAGTTAATAAAATTGACCATCGATATGGAATATGGACACACAATGACCAGATTTGAGAACACACACCTTCAATAACGATCGACATGGGGTCGTCGACGGTGGCCGTCGATAGAAGACAAAACAAATCAGTGGTCGTTGCCGTGGAGCTCCATCAGCACGAAGCTTTTGAGATATACCACGCAGCTTCTCTCGACAAAACGCTCTGTTGCGCGCTGAGTTCTTTGCATGTCGTCGTCCGTCGACCTGAGCACCTTTGGCAGCCATGCGCACGCGAGTGTCCTCTGTCACGCAAGGGACACACGCCGCTGCTGGACATGCTGGTCGGCACACGGACAAGATGGACTCGTCGTCTTTGTCCAAGCATGCCTGGCACATGGCAGACTATTGGCACCACAGCCAAAATACACATGCCCTTGCATTTGTCATGCACGGCAATGAGTGAAAGATAGTGCGCCTCGTTCATGCTTCTTGAGACATCATTCGACAGTGTGGTGATGTGGACGCAATTGAATTCTGGTCCGGTGGATTTGTCAGAGATGAGGGGACGTACTTACCGACTGTCGATCCATCTATTGCAGCTACATGTTCATAGGGCGCTCAACTGTGTGCGGCCGACCACGTGCATCGACATGTCATCCGTCGTGCGTTCCACTCCATCCCCAATAACTCTTGATGTACTAGTTGAAGCGTCGGCAACGTCCTACGTTTCTACCGCCCATGCGGCAGGCGCGGCGTGCTGCAGAAGCGCCGAGGACTCGCAGTCGTCGCAGAAACGGGGACGGAACACTGCGACCAGAGAAATATTGTAGATTACCTAAAATATGTATACATTTTATTACAAGTTGGGAAATGTATGGAAAAGATCGCGTTCCCACAAAAAATATACCAACCAAAATGATACTGTTCGAGGATTGCCAATCGAGATTTGCCGGATTGCACTGTCAGTCGGTGGACGAGTGCTATGGCATGGCTACGTTCGGTGCGACGTCTACTGCTCCTGGCGAATGCCCTTTTGGCCACCCTTTCCACCGTGCTCGCAGGGTGCGATGACTGCGCGATGTCGGGAGACTGCACGCTGGCGTACAAAGATGTCGCCCCTGGCGCGTTCTGTGGACGTGTTGGTGGCGTCTACTGCTGCTGCCCGCTGACGATGCAGTGCGCCGCTACCGTTTTCGACTGCAGGTGTCGCAATCTGCCATATCCTGGGTACGCTCCTCCACAAACCCTTCCCATGGACCGAAATGATGGATTGGTCGTTGCAATTGTCGTTGGAGTCGTTGTGAGTCTTTTTGTTGGCGCGTTCTGTTGTGCTCGACACAACTGTTCCAGCCGCGGCGACAACGAGCAAAATGCACCTCTGAACAACTCGGAAACTGCAATGCCACCGTCTTGTCGAACGAACCGTGGATATTCGCATCCCGAGTTGAGCGGGACACGACCGTCCCAGCCAACAAAAGCATACCAGCGTTATGACTCCCTTCCTGCCACGTACGGAAGTGTCTCTCAAAATCAACCGACACTGTCCACTCAAGATGCTGACCCCTACGCATGTCTGCAGCCTTTGCATGAGGCTTATCCGTCGTACCCACAAGACCCGCCTTTCGCAATTGCCGTCCCTGTCGATGCCTCGTTGCACGTTTCGTCGGGCAATTCGACTCTGGGTCCATACCATCAACCAAACCATTTGGCGAGTTCTCCTATGCCAGCCTACGCGATGGCCGCGCCATTTGCAACTCAGTCCATGGCGCGGAGCAAAGTCCAACCAGAAGTAGCGGCACCACCTCCTCCCCATATCTACCAGGCACATCCATATGAAGCCCCGCCGCCATATCACGAGGCTCCTCCAAGTGCCCCGTCGCCTCCTCCTCAGTACTCCATGCACAAGTAAGGGTGCCTTCATGCCTGCCTCACCACCTCACGTTCCAAGATCCGTTTGTCGGCGACTGTACTGTACAAAGCGACTTCATTCTGTCAAGCGGTACTTGGACTTTCTTCGGTCATTGTGAAAAATGGTCATAATATATCGATTGCGCATTTATCTGCCTTTTAAAATATTTAAGTATCTACTAATATGTATACGGTGCATTGGAGAGTTCGAAATAAATATCGATCTTGACTTTGACGTCAGGAATGTTGGTTTTACCGGCATCGGACTATTCGACGTCTACGAACGACACACATTCGGAATCATCGGTTCCCCCCGCCACTGCCATTTTCCATCTCGAGCACAATGAAGACGTGCGGGGTTCCAGTTCTGTTGGTGTCCCTAGTCCTGTTGGCTCTTGCGACTATCGTCGAGGCCGACTGCAATTCCTGCGTGTACAATGGAGAGTGCAGCACTGCCTACCGCGGGACCCCGGGCCGATCCTGCGGGGTCGTTGCCGGCAAAACGTGTTGCTGCCCCCAAAGTGCTCAATGTGCCACGACGCCGTACGACTGCCGCTGTGCCGCAGCCCCTGCTCCCTATCGCCCCAACAACGGATCCACCACCACGATTATCGGCACCATTTCATCCCTTATTTTCTTCACTTGCCTAGCATGGTGCCTCTGCCGCTGCTGCTGTCGCAACGATGATCATGAATACGTCGCTCAGCCACAATACATTCCCGTTGCCCAACAAACGAACCAGTACGGTCAACCGGTGTACGTGAATCAACAACCGGTGTATGCGGCCCAACAACCCGTGTACATGGCGCCCCCTCAGCCGGTGGTGTACCAAACGTATCAGTCGGGCTACGGTGTGGGAACAGGCGCCGCCGTCGGAGCTGCTGCAGGTCTCGCGACTGGTGTGGCGATCGGAGAAGCCATGCACCATCACGATGGAGGATACGATGGAGGGTACAACAACACTACGTTTGCCGGGGATACTGGCAACAACACGTTTGCTGGCGACTCGGGCGACAATGGCGGCGGTGATTTCGCCGGCGACTTTTAGACGCAAACGCAATAGAGGTCATCACAGTGCCTTCTTACTTACATCTGTCTTCGTATTCCCGTGAGGACTGATGCTCAGCATCGTCCAATGCGCCGCGGCATTTCTCGAGTACCACTCGCCAAAGAGGACGCCCATACGTCGTAAAGTGCCGTGCATCACCTTGGAGCGTGAGGTGGCGATGCTCTCTTAAATACTTCCAAATCACCAAGTACAGCTACACTCGAATCTTGGGTAAGGTCAGCACAGTAGGTCTCTGCACTACATGGGATCGGCTCCATCGTGGAGGCAGAGGCGATGGAGCGGCGATGACGACAAAGTCAAGATCACTTGATGTTGGCATTTGCACGGTGGCGTTAGCGCGTTGCGGTTGTGGTGGGTATTGGACTGCATGAGAAAACGGCAGGCTGTACACGTTGGCACCTGTATGCAGCGACGGAATTGCAACATATTGTCGCTGGCGGACAAAACTTTGACGCCAGCGTGTGAAGCAGCCCCAATAGATACAAAAGAACCCCGTCAGCCACAGAAACACAGCGACGAGGCCGCCTGCGCGCATGTTGGAGATGTTCTGCAGCGGAGACGAATCCAGTGGAGGTCCAGTTCGGCGGATATGGCATTGACAAGTGAGCGGTGTTGGAACGCAAGCTGACGCGTCAGGACAGCAGCATGGGGTCCCCATCCACATACCACAGAAGTGGCCCGCACCGCCGTTGTACGCAGCAGAGCATTGCCCAGCCAACGCGCACTCGGAGCAACTGCCAACGACTAGACCAAACAGGCACGCTAGAGCTACTGCGGTGCGGAAGGCCGTGCCTTCGATGGCCATTCCGTTCGAACTGCGAGAAAGGCTGATGGGCTTGAAAATCCAAGCCAAACTAGTCTCCTTACAAACTTCAAGTGAAAGGCGGATCTCAAACATATGCTTCAACTGCAACAAATTACCCTAAATGATGCAATTGTGCATGAATAATACGATTGGGTTTAACATAAAATACCCCTAAATACAAAGCAACCCTATTGAAGTGAAAAGCCCTGCCCATGTCAGCCAATAATTGCCACTGTTGCTCCCCATGCTTCTTCGCCGATTCACTGCCGCCGCCGCTACCTCCCGTGTGTCCATCGCGAGCTTCTCCTCGCGCGCCGGAGGTACAGATTCATGAAGCCCTCTTTGAAGTGACGCGTTCGTTGTAGCCTCTCTTGTGAAGGAACTGACAGAGCATGCCGAGTATGAACAATTGATTGCTCGCCCGGATGCCAAGAGTGTTGTGTACTTCACGGCCTCGTGGTGCGGCCCGTGCAAGATGATTTCGCCCGTTTACGCGGAACTGAGGTACACGTCTACATGTCGCAGGATTCCGTCGACTAAGAACGCTTTTGTGCGATGCAGCAACATGAACACGGACGTGTCGTTTGCGAAGGTTGATGTCGACGAAATGGACCACACAGCCCACGTCGCCGGTGTCCGGGTACGGCAGACAACCAACGCCACAGATGAAAGCTTATTCGATTGCGTAGTCCATGCCTACCTTCCAGTTCTACTCGAACGGTCAGTTGCAAAAGTCGCTCGGGGTAACTCTGCCTTGCTCGCCAAAGCTCCATTTGACGACGTCGCTGTAGTTTTCGGGAGCTGACCCCAACTTGCTCGCGCAGAGCGTGGCCAAGCTCAAGAGTTTGTAACATCGTGCATTTTCAGCGCAGGATCACTAAGTTGGAAAAGGATATCATGTCTAGCTTGCGATGACTGCGTGGGAAGCAACACAACACATCACCCCGAACATGTCAGTCTCGTTTGAGTTACGTGTGCCATCTCATGGCTGTAAAAGATGCTTCACGCCGCCGTTCTGTGACGCTCTCGTTCCTGTCATCTGGTACTGGCAGTCTACGATCCACACTCCACCAAAACAGAGACGAGCTTCCTTTGTCTGACGGAACTGAGACCATGGAGGACACAGCGAGGCGATCCACTTTCACGAGAAATGATCGGTACTCCGGAGTAGAAGAGGAATGCCAAGAGAGGGAGTTGTGTAGAGTCGCTCGGATGCAGCACCTCGTCCCCCGTCTGAACCAACGGCGAAAACGCCCCCTTAGCTGATTTCTGCATGCGAGGAACCGCTCCGTCAGTCGCACTCGCGTCGAGGTTTTTTCAGGCCGATGGCAGGAGGCAGCAGTCAAGGACCTATTTTTAGAGGTCGACAACGCATTCCAAGCGTGGTTCCCTCACGGCTGTCATGCGCCGCAGCAAGGACAACTGCCACGTGCGGTTCGCTCAACAACAGTATTCTGCATTTCGCCCAACGCAGCTCGACAACAAAGCTGCCCCTGGTACGTGGTCTCGAGTGAGCGACCGTCGTGACTGTCGAGCAGACTCGTTTGAGATCGGCCGCGGCCCTGGCTACATCAACCCGCACGTGCCGTCGTCGAACCGATCGATCTCGCTGTACAAGTACGAGGTCGTTGTGTCTATGCAGGCATTTCCAACCACGCCGGTTGTAGAGTCGACCGATGCACAAGCTTGACCCTTGTCGTGCCGATTCCGACCGACGCCATGTACGACATTGACCATGGGCTCACGTACGACTCGAAACGTACGTGCTCGTGCTTGCCATGTGCGCTCAAAGTGAACGGACGGGTGCTGCCCAGACAAAGGAAACGCCGTGCCCCTCAAGTCAGCCACTCCTCGCTTTCCAGAGGTGCGTGCACCGTAAGTTTGACTGGAACGCCATGCAAGCGTCGAATATGCAGACTACGCAAAGCACCCCCGGCCCGGGAGCATATCGCACCGAACAGGTTGTTGTCGTGGGGACGATGGGAACTGATCGGTTGGCGCAGTTTCACGGGGCGTTTCCGACGCTACACAAGTCGGTCACGCCGCGAGATGTGCGACAAGAGCACGTTGCCAAACACTTGGAGCTCAAAACCCTCATGGGCATTGCCCCGCCGCCGCCCCAGCAGCCCAACGCCACCCCCGCCACTGATTGCGCGATGCCCATGCGGTAGGCCCAACCATCAGATCCATCATCATGCATCGCGTTCAGGCCGGTCAAAAAGCCCCTGCACAAATCCACAGGCCGACGAATAGAAGGCAAGCCAGCTCTGGAGCTGGAAGATGCCGCAGTTTCGTCGTCGCCATCGTCGACAATTTGCTGCTCGTCGCCCTTGATTGCCCGCCTGACGCCCAAAAATGCGTACAACGGGAGCTTTGTCCGGTCGATGGTTGCCACGCCTCGCTATCGTCAAGCTTTGGCAGTCGGCAAACGCACGAATGCCTATGTCACCGACGCGCCCCTGGACACATCCACCTCGAACGCTGCAGTGGTCGCACCACCATCAGCTGTACCTACGTCAACCGAATCGAGTCGTTCTGCCACTGCAGCTAGTGATGCGGTCGACAACTCACAAGTAGCTCCATTGCCCGTGCTTTCGTTAACAAGCGAAGTCGTCCAGCAGGACATTGCGTTGTCGGACCACGTGGTCAGTACCAGCTAACACTTTCTTGGGTAAAGACATCGTTTTGCTCCAAAGTGCCAAGCCTCCGTTATCTTGCGACGTTCGCACTCGACAGCGATGCCAAACTATCTCAAACAAGGCAGCACTGCAGTCTCGGTTAGATGTGGACACACCCACGGCGTTCCCTGCATGGCCCTGCAGCTTTGCCATGACACAGGTCGCTCCTCGGTCAGCTCGTTCGAGTGAACGTAAAGTCCTCCTGCAACACGTCGTCGGCGCCACCACTCGAGTTGAAGCAGACGCGACACACTCGCACCAATTCAAAGTACCCAAACTCGGGCAAGGACATGCGATGGCTCGTACACCTGGAGCACACGGCGTGGGTCAGATGAGCCTGAGTCATGGAGTGTACGCACTTGCCACAAAAGACGTAGCCGCAGCACCTGCAGTGGTGGCGATTGCGCACGACGGCAATAAACTTTTTCTTGCACTGTTTGCAGCACGCAGCGTCTTTGTCCAGCTCCCACACGGGCTGGACGTTCGAGTTGCCCGCGCGGGAGGTGGACATCGAGTGAGGCCGCGGCCCTTTTGCCGACTGCGGAGGCGCGTTGAAGTCGGTCATGGCCAAGAGGCTGACGTGGGGGCGGGTGGCCGTCGTGAATGACGTGGAGAGCGCCGCCGTCACGACAGGGTTCATGTGCGGTGGCGCAGTGCTTGCGTTAAAGTACGACGGCGACAACATGAACGACGTGCTTGTCTGCGTGTCTTCAGCTTGTTTGATAGGTTCCGAGGCGACCGTGCCTTCTTCGAGGGGGGTGTTGTAGTTTTGAAAGCGCAATCTACCAAGCAAGATAATTGCAGCAACCGACTCAGGAAACAGAAACCTACTGCTGCATCGTCGAATACGCATCTTCATCGAGAGACCTTGCTATGGATCGCATGGATTCCAGATGCCTCGTTAAGTCTTGGTACTCGTTGCGAAGGGTCGTGATGTCGTTGACCTGTGGTCGTCCCGTCAGGAGAGCAGCCAGTCCTTGCTTCACTCGGCCACTGCCACTGCGCGTTCGATGCAAGTCAGCTGGTTGCAAGGAAGGTGGGCCAAGGGACGACGACGACGCGCCGTGGACGGGAGCGCTGTGCGTGGGGCTCGCAACGGTTGTGGTGAGTCGGCGTAGCAGCTTGGCTTTTTCTGGGGTCGTCGTGGGGGTCGACGAGACGCTAGACGATAGGCGATGCTCGTGGTGAATTGCAATTTTCCGCGCGAGCCGCTGGATTTCCGACCGCAGCTGGGCGTTCTTGACCTCTAGATGTTGCTCGGGAGTGAGTAAATCCCGCAGTCGCGTTAATTCTCGCTCCTGCTGGCGGATCAGCGCCAGCATCTCAACCTCGCGCTGCTGCAGACGCATATGGCTGATGGCTTTCTGGTGCTGGCTTGCCCACAATTGCATGAGGCGGACGCGGCAGACCGGGACCATTGCGTCGTCCGTGTCTGTGTTGTACAGCGGGTTCCGGTACATGTCAGTGGAAGCGCGAATGGTATCCCACACGCTGATCGTCGGCACGGCGCACAGGAACGCGGCGCGGTCCGCCTCGCAGTTCTTCTGGAACGTACCAAACCTACCAAGGACACCATGATCCGTCGGTATGCAAGCCACCGGCCATTGCAAACAAATCGCACCATGACGAGTACACAGCGTCGGCCACCGACGACAAAAACATTTCGTTGAATTGAAAATGCGTTGGAAATTGCAGTGTCAGTTGGTACACGGCGTCCAGAAATTGCTGAAACACGGGCGACGTGTCGTCCGTGACGGGAAACCCACACCGCTTTGCAAAGTTGTGGCCAAAGCTGCACCAGTCCTTCTCCACGAGGGTCGCAAACCCTTCGATCGTGCGAAAGTACGGATCCAGCATCAACTGCGCCAGGGCACACAGCTGTGCGGTGCGATCCCACCCGTCGCTGCAGTGCACCAGGACCGCATCACCGCGCTCGAGGTGCGATGCCACCTCGACGGCCCCCGCCAAGATGCTGTTGATGTGCTCCAACCACCTATGCACACCGCAAGATAGAGCCACGGGTTCGTCATCCTATCCAACCCACCGGCTCTTCTGGAGGGTGCTGTGGAACGTGGCGTCGTCCACTTGATACAGCGCCTGACTGAGCTGGTTGAACGATGCGCGCACGACGTGGATGTTGTCAATTCCCATGAACGCAATAGCTGCACTCAAGACGTTGAGGGATCGATACGTCGGGGGAAAGTGCTCGACGTACACGCGCAGGGGTAGCCGTCGCGGTCGTAGTGCTTGGCCGACTCGTGGCCCTTTCCTGCGAGGGCGTTCGACTTGGCGTTGATTTCGGGTCGGCAGTCGACGATGTGCACCAGTGTCGACTGCTTGGACCGGCCATCGACAGGATACGCGGCGTCTCGAATGGCCCAGAGGAGGTCACGGTCCTCTTTGCTGCTCGTGCGGAGGACGCCAGACTTGGGCTGACTGCTGCGGCACAGTGGGGCGCCTACACACGACCAACGGCTTTGAATCCCAAGCGCTCCATTGCCCAACCTGTGCGCGGGTGGAGCCACGTGAGCGCAGGATGTCTACGTTTCGACCGAAACCGGGCTGCTTCAGCAAGAATGTCGTCGGGGACGGACGCCGGCACAAGAAGAAAGCTCGGGTACGACGGGCATAAACCGTAGTGGGCATTGACCGTTGTTTGGCGCCACGCAGGATGGCTGAACACGCCTGTGTGCCACGCATTGAGAACATTCGGTCGCATATCACAATGGATGGCCATCGAACCTTGCCGAGAAAATTCTGCCAGCGGATCGTACCGAATACGACGCTTGTTGGCAGCACTTGTGGCCGTCGGACTTGCAAGTCGAAGTTGCAGGGACTGGTCGAACGACGACGTGTGCGATCGCCGCCTGTTCACGTCAACCACACGATTTCGAATGAACGGCTCGAAATTGTCGGAATGTTCGTACAGTAGGGGAGGCGCGCCTGCCGATGCTCCATCTGACAGGAACGACCGCTTCGTCATGGGACTGATGCCGACGGGATGTTCCGTCGTCACGTTCGCTTCTGGATGGGACTCGACGATGTTGAGGTCTGTGAACGCGCAAAAGTTGTTTTCCATTTGGAGCCACTCGATTTCGTTCACGATGTGCGTGAGCATACGCACTCGCTTCGCCTCTGAATCCCCGGCGCGGAGGCGGGCGTTGAGCGTCACCGAGTACAGTGATGCGTCCTGGAGCAGAGAAACGGGTGGAAGGAAGAGTGGTTGGGAGCGTTTACCATGTTTTCCATCGTGAGGCCATGGACAGTGAACTGTTTCTGCTTCGACTGGGTCTGCGTCAGCTTGGCAATCTTCCCGAGTGGAATGGTGTGCACGTCTTCGTGGTGGAGTCCTTGCACGGGGGCGTACGGAATGAACCAGAGACGGAAGTTGGTCACCACCATGAGCGCCAGCACCCCCTGGTTACCCTCCGTTACGTGAAACGTCAGCGACACTTCTTCGACCATGTACAAGATCTTCTCGTTGGACGGAACAACGCAGTCGTGCAACCTACGATTGCAATCGGCCCCCAGACATGACACGAGCTGGAAGGACGCACGGATGCCAGACTCGGGGAATCGGCGCGTAGTGGTGCTGGAAGCGCTCGTTGTGCGGCGGTAGTACGTCGCGGACGTCGACGCGCTTGGCTTTTGAGAACAGCAACACCTCGGCCTCTTCCATCTGCATGCTGATGTATAGCCAGCCGCACCGCACTGTTGATCCGCGAATCAACTGACACTTGACTTGCGTCGGTTCCTTGGGGCCTTGCATCAGCGACAAATTGACACGACATGATGCAAGGCACTCTCCGTGGGCCGAGTCGTCACTGCACTTGACGTCGAACGAAATGAACGCTGGACAAATCGAAGACTCGTGAGCTCAATGCGTGCAATATGCGTTAACATACCCACGTTCATATCCCACGACTCTTGGAGAGGCACCCACAACTCCATGTCCCATACAGGGCTCACAGCCCGACGGACAACGTGCGTAATGCCAACTTCCTTCCCATCATACACAACCTACACACGAGACACCACAATTCACACGGGCACCATCCACAATCTCATGATGCCTACGCGGACGTAGGTGTCGAAGGAAGTTTCTTGGTCTTGGGCGCCGATGTTTTCACCCCGATGGATTGTTAGACGCATGTGGCGGCGACGGCGGCGTTCAGGTCACCGAGATCACCTTGGTCTCCGGATAATGTCTTGCCATCCAATGAAATCCAGGGGTTTATGCGGAAGCGTTTGCAACTTCAATCGGAATCATCCGGATATTCGCAATTCCACTGCAATCTTGAGCCGTCGCACTTCGGGACGACCGATGATCGGACATGCAGCGGCCACGATAGCGCTCATTTCTGTCGCCGTCCATGGAGGTACCAAGGCAACGGTAGTGATGGAGGCATGCTTGACGTTGTCGTTCGAGTAGTGTTCTTCTATGCGGACTTCAACGAAACTCTGGGACTCACGCTAAACGGAAACTCCGCAACGACAAATTGCATCTTCAAACCGATTGTTTGACACACCCCAACGAAGTAAAAGCGCTTACTAGATGCGTGTAGAATGCATACGGTGTCAATTACGCCGCCGCGGACGTGCTGGAAGCGCTGTTGGACGTCATACAGGTACTGTTGTGATAGATCTAACGTTCTCTGGTGACACGTCCTGTTCAGTCTCATTCTCTCGACCGAGTTACCCTCGACACGACAGAGACGTCTACACCTGCATTCACTAAGCACATTGCATCAACCACAGCCATGTTTGGACACCGCGACACATATCAGCCTTCCCTGCAAAGTGAGTGTCCTGTTCGTGTGAGGTGAGCACGTATTTGCTGACAAAGCGGTAACCTGTCGGATCCTCAGGCTCACCGGATCCCAGCCTCATCAAGCTTCCTCTGTTTGGTACAACGACCCTCTTAATGTCCTTGACGGGTTTGAGACAAGATTTACGTTCCAAGTAAGGCGCACCAAGCACATTATGGTTGGTCATTGTAATCGTGCTCGTTCTCATCAGATTTCGGACCACGCCAAGCGATGCTACGATGTGAAAACACCCAACTTTGGGCTCACTTCGTATCAGGTACTGGTCCATCTGAAATTTCAAATACCTACCGACAAGCCGCACTGTCGAGTGCGAATGGTAGTCTTGCGTAGTCCACGGAGGCGATGGCTTTGCCTTTGTCGTCCATGGCGACCCGAACGCCACGTTTGCGTTGGGCGCATCGGGACAAGGACTCGGTTGGTCAAGCATTTCACCAGCTCTCGCCGTGGTGTTTCACACGGGACCAAACGGTGGTAGCCCCACTTCAGACGCGCTCCTCGTCGACCACGTCAGGTACATTCCAAGAGATTTTACCGTCGATTGGATGACGCATAGTGTGTGTATAGCCTACACGCATCAAGTAATGCTCCTGGCAATCCTCCACTGCTTCTATCGGCCCCAGTTCCCGTTGATATCGCCGATGGCACGATTCACATCGTCAAAGTTCGCTACTACAACTCCATGCCTCAGCAATACTTTGCATACCTGTCGTCCGCGCCAGACGCAGTGCCGTTCATGAAGGATATGTCGGAGGAGCGGCGTGTGGGCTGCGTCGTCGTTTTCATGGACGACGGCATCAACTCCGACACGCCTCTCTTCGCGGTGCCGATCAATTTGGCCGTTGCATTAATCTTGCCAAACGATCAAGCTTACATTGTAGGAACACGTCGTTTCACTCCCGCTGGGGTTCGATCAGCACCCTGACGCGCAACTCACTTAGGGATTCACGGCCGCAACGGGACATGCGTGGGAGAAGCACGACGTGTTGTCTTGGTACTATTGTGCTGCGGTAAGACCTCCACCTGACGGAGCTCCATGTCGAATCCATTTGATTCGCGGTGGCCATCTCATGATGACGGTGCGTCGTGATAGCCGCCCTGCTTGAATGCCAACGGAGCAATTGTCGCGCTCGATTTTGACTACGAAACGCAGAGCAAGCTCAATGCGGCATCGTACGGCACAGGGCTGTACCCAGAGCTCATTTTTCCTGACACTGGAGCGTGGGGCCTCGACCAGGCGTACTTTGCCCCACAAGTACCGCGCGGTGTGTCGTAGTGGAATGTTCAAGTACATTTGGTAGAGCAGCTGGCTATTTGAATGCACGGTATTGAGCATAACGATATGAAGCACTTGTCAGTTAAAGACCGCGAGGACAAAAAGAAGGATCACTAGCACGGAGGGTTGAACAGTCACGGCGGCGCAGGGGTACAGTCTATCCCAGTCATATCGCGGGCACATAAAGTCGTGAAGGCCACAGCCCCACGTGCCACACACGCCAAGGATACTGCAAAGCAGCCGAGCTGCAAAGCAGGAAGGTCAGACGAGGATGCGAGATGGATGGAGTTGGAAAAAACCTGAGTTTTGCCGGCAAAAGTCTTGCGGGATGTAGCTGTCCGTTGAGAGTTGAGTGCATGAACAGTGCGACCTCTCCATCGCGCTTTGGTGCAAAACGTCGCTATCCATGCAAGGCGCGCTGCACATAACTGTTTGAATGTCGGACTGCAGGACAGGTCCAAATCGCCCCGCGAGCCGCAGTTTTAGGAACTCGATGCTTGCTTCACAAAGCGACGCTTGTACAAACATGTCTTTACCTACACACGACTTCAGCAACAGAACCAGCGCAACAAAACAGTGCCTTCGCCAAGTAGAAACGCGTTGTACAAAGTCAAGTCGCAGGTCAGCTCTGTAGGAACTGGGTCAGCGTCTTCAAGTCTTCTCTCGACATCGGAGTTGTGCCAAGGAGACATTTGTGCACTCGAGGCAGGCGAATTCCACTCTTGTAGGATGGTGCTATGGTCTTTCTCTACTTCATGGCCACATACGCATGCCGCAAACATGCACAGACTGAGAAATCCTTGCATGTTGCGACTCACGTTTCGCGGCAGTCGTACCAAATTCCGAAACCGTCCAATCGTTATCCGGACGTAGAAATTATGCGGATTGGATTGAACCAATCGAGCACATTGAATATGCCCAACGGCGGAAGTGGCCAAGAGGTCATCGGGACTGGACACGAAATGGACGGCCCAGCTCCGTCTACAGCCGCAGAATCTGGCACTGGGGTGCATAGCCAGCATGACAACGAATCATCCGACACCACGAAAGGATGCCGGCACGTCACGGCGGCCTTGAACATTTCGTTGCTGAGAAAGCGGCTGAAGAGAGGCGGGCTCCATCACTGCGAGGTACAGAAGTGCTTCAGCCCTCGTCCTTTATCGCTGGTGCATGCATAGACTTGTGGCGACGATAATTGTGGAAAGAAGAAGACCAAACCAAAGCATGCAGTCAAACACATCACTGACCTGGACAAGGTTTCCTTAAACGGCATGTGCATCGCATGTGGCTTCGTGGGTTGTTTACAGCATAATCACTGCATGACCCATCTTCAGTACGTACTCAAGAGTCAACATGGAAGATTGACGCTGTTGACTTGCGTGGTTTAGGCACGTGGCGAAACACTTCTGCATGTTCGACATGGCGACAAGAGCGATTTGGTATATTGCCGCCGCCTATGCGTGCGATGTGGTCTCAAGTAATATGGACATTGTTTTTTAAGGTGTATCAAATGCGATGGTGTTGTCGTCGCCCGGAGCGATCGTATCGCCCAAACTATTCGTGATATCCACCAGGCCTTTGACGACATTGTGGTTGGAAAGAGCGGACGAATGCTCCATGCGAAGATCGTTGGGGAGCCAGAAAAGGACAAGCCACTAACTGTTCGACCATCAAGCCGAAAGAACCAAAAGGCTCACACAACTAAAAACCAATCTCAAGTCGAACAAAGCGATGACGACTCCGTCGCCGAGACCTACGGGGTCAGTGTCATTCCAGGTTGATGCAATTGGCGATGGCTTGTCCTGATATATGTTGTGAGTGACAGGACTGGCCAACTTGGGCAATTCTTGCTACTTCAACTCAACGATTCAGGCGCTAAAGGCAGTCTTCTTGCCGCAACTGCTCAAACAAGCAGTCGCGAAAGAGCATGGTCGAGGGCCGATCACCCAAGCTCTCATGTACCCTGGACTGGCTAGACTCGGCCTACTTGACACGAAACTCCTCTCACCAGGGACTTCATTTTGGACGGAACAACCTTACCAGCTACAAAGATCAAGGGCAAGCGAGTGTACAATCCATCGACACTTCTCACGGAGGTCCGAGAAAAGTGTCGGCAATTTCGCAATCGAGCGCAGCAAGACGCATACGAGATGCTCTTGGCTCTTGTGTGGGCAATTGACGACGAATTCATCGCGGCTTCAAAAGCTACGGCGCCGTCCCCACCAAGCACAGCGCAGCCGAAACCCTCGATTATGGAGCAAATTTTTGTCAAGACCGATGCCGACACACTGAGTTTGATGGTGCGTTTGCTCGTTTTTTTCTCGTCAAGGTGGTCGACAAGGTTTTTGCAGGTTCCACAGGGAAGCTCCGTGGAAGAAATCCAGAAACTCGTGGCCAAGCAGCTTCGTCTGAACGAAGACGACTTGTTCGTGGCCGGGCCTCCTCAGCCATCCATAGCGCCGGACTGCGGCTCGGTCGACAACTTTGTTTGGCGCGCAATGATGGGGTGTTTGGTCAAGTACGATGGCGGTTCCCGCGAGGCTTGCATGAAGTGGATGTTTGTAGCACGGTCGTGTGTCAGTCGTGTAATTCCACATCGAAGACGTTTGATGCATGTATCAGCATCACCGTATCCATTCCCAAAGACGTAAGACGTGCCCATCGCCATGGCTTGCTTCCTCATGTTGGCCGCGACACACAGGTGAATGCGTGCACCATTGAAGACGCGTTGGCGGCGTTCACGGCGCCTGGTGTCCTCTCCGAAGCCCACGGATGCGGGTATACCTGCGACCATTGCAACGCAATCTCTGGATCGTCACAGCTCCGCACGGCGGCGATTCAAATGCAGCTGCACACTCCAGCCCCCATCCTAGTTTTGCATCTCAAGGTCTTGACCGCGCTGGCAGCACAACGTGTCGCTCTGACCATTGTTGTAGCGCTTGACGAGGCTCAAGAAAAACACTCTCCATGTCGCCTTTTCAACCGACCTGGACGTGGCTCCATATCTTTCCCAACGTACACTATCTTGGACACCGTGTTCATCTTCATTACCTCGGTCGAATGTAGCTCCCTGCGGACCTCAGCTTCCCACAACCTACTCGTTGCATGCGGTCGTCGTCCACTCGGGCAACCGGTTTGGCGGTCATTACGTGGCCTACGTCAAGCACGGCGGCCAGTGGTTCGTCACGAGTGACACGAGTGTCAAGGAAGTGAGCGAAGCCACCGTGCTCCAAGCCGAGGCGTACCTACTCTTTTACAAATGGATCTACTAGCCCCGCAACACGACAGCGACTTTGTGAAGTATAGTATTACGAATCCAGTGCTCAGCCGTGTCTGGGACGCACCTTAAGCCGTTTCCTTTGAATTGATAAACGGAACGTGGGCGAGAATGTGGTGCGTCGCGTTCGACAGAGTGTCGTAGGTCGAGCGCGAGACGCTTGAAATGGTTTGGACCGTCGATTTGCGCACATTGTTGGCCGTATCCATCGTCTTTTGACGCAAACTGCACGCCGTCTCGACCGTTGACGATGTCACTTGGCTCACCTTGGACTGGACAGTCGACACAGTGGAGGCGACTGTCGTCTTGGTCGCATTCATTGTCGCTTGCACTTTGGTGACGGCACCGTCCTTTGTCTTGAGCAAGTATTCTTGGCTCGCGGCAATCGTCTTGAGCAAGGTGGCCACGTTCTCGTCCACGCGGGAGTCGACTGTGCGCAGCGCAGGGACCAACGACTGGTCCACAGATTCCAGGCTATCCACCTTGCTTGGCGCCAAGCGGTGCAAAAAGTACTCGAGCGTCGACTCGCCGTATCGGGCGACGTAGCCAACGGCCGCAAAGCTCGTGGCGTACGAGTACATTTCCTTTGTCTTTTCGTAGTAAAACGACGGGTGAATGTACCACAACGACGTGGAGTGGTCCGGCGTGGCGGTTAGGCTGCGAGGAATCGACGTGTGGGGGTCAGAAGGGCCAGTTGACCCCTTGGCCGAGGTGGAGCCAGATGCTTTAGCACCCAACTTCTTGTGCTGGTCATTCTTCTCCTTTGGAGTAAACTCGACACCTAAAGCGACGACTCCGGCGCCTTCGTCCAAGTTGACACCATGCTCTTCGCGCTTCGAACCAAGAAATTCCGATACGTCGAGCTTGGCAGACGCAATCGCCTTGTTGTCGAGAAGTACTGCCAACTGCAACGGTTGCTTCGAGGCAGGGTTAAAATCGTTGCTACAGCTCCATCATGACGAGCGCGCTTGATGGGACGACACGTACAACACGAGGATTTCGTTGAAGTGGCCCGTTTGAGCCGGCTGCGGCTCTGTTTGTTGGTGTTGACCTTTGCCAAAACCAAGGCGCACAATCATCTTGGCATCACGCAAGCGTTCCGCGTCTTTCAAGTCATCCACACGAACGACTGGTGGAACGAATGGTGTAAGGCCATCGGTATGCCAAGGCATCGCACACGTACCTTTGATCTTGAGCGTTCCCGTAACCATCGTGGCGGCGGGCGTTGGGGTCGTTGGCGGGTCGAACGCGAAAATGCAAACTAACGCGCAATTGTGGACCAAACTTTGGACCAAACTTTGGGCGTCCACTTCAACGTCATGACAGTTCGATTTCTCATTTGGTGTTTGTATAGGCAATACAAATTGCTATATACTGGCCAACGACCCATTCGCCCAAACGCCATCGCCAACGCCCCGGCGTCATTGCCCACGTTGGCGGCATCTGGGCAAAACCACTATGTGACAAGGCAGCGACTGGGACGTGTGATATTCCTTCCGTCGGATTGGCTGATGGATAGGGCAATTGGGACAAACCTCCAACGTCCTCGCGTGCCTCTATGAGGATGATGCCGAGATGTCACGGGATTCGTCGCAGAAGGTGCGCCGACGTGGCTGACGCGAGCGAGAAGCCCCAAGGAGTACCGAACGAACTAGCAATGTCCGGACGTTGCAACCAAGCTGTCGACGCAACAATCCGTCGTCCAGATGTGACTGCTGTCGACGAGTCGATCCGCTCGAACTCAAATGTTGATACAAATGCACGGGCCACCTCGGAATTCCTTCATGTGGGGGGTGTTCCAACGATTCCCGCACGGACGTTTCAGTCACGCAGCAGTCGAACTGTTCGGATGTGTGGCGATCGAAGATATGTTGAGATGGCAGGTTGTGCCATGCAACCACGAAATTTTGTTTGCTTTGGTCACTCGGAGACGTAGTAGTACACAGCACTGGCCTTGTGCCTCAAAGGTTGGACGGACGCTCGGTGGAGCGCTCTCGTGCGGATTGCAGGGAGGCGGCAATTGTATTGGCGCAGTATTCGTCAACAAGCCAGCTCACGATTTGCGCCGTCGTCCGCACGTCGAATTCGGCCGCCTCGGGTGAGCACAAGGTGTTGAGACAGCATTACTTCACGTCACCTTGAGGGGGTTGGCTGGGGCTTGTGCAATGCCCAAACGAGCGGACGCACCGCAGGAGACGACGGCACATCCACAGGGTGCCATCTATTTCCCTCTTCCACAACTAATGAGGTGGACGTTTCAACTTCAAGTGGAGCTTGCCACAGTGGTGGAATTGTCGCTGTTTCGTCCTGTAGTATGTGGAGATTACTAACTTTTCCCACGACTTACTAATCCTAGCGAAATTGATTTACGATACGTTTGTATGCATTATAATACTTCTACCAACTTGACTAGTATACATGGCGATGTCAATTCGTTTTTGTCCGGATAACTTCCGCACCCACGCACATCAGGAGGCACACAGGGATGCGGCTCTCACCACATGATGTTGATGAAACCTTTTTTTGGGGCACTTCCAGCGTTTCGTCAACGTGTTTACCCAAGTCGGCCACCACGGGGCAACCCGATTGTGCGTTTCCACGGGCGCGACGGCTGCACCTGTCCGTTCCCCATCGGGGCTCCAAGAAGCATTCAACAGATCGTTGGGCGGTGTCGGCCAAAACAGACCCTTCGTTCTGTGTATACCGACCGACTGTCCCTATCCTTGCGAGTCGTGGGAATGTCTGTCTAGTCTCTTTTAGTGGTGACGGAGACGTCGCCACTGTTGAACTTGCGGCGAGATATATGTTAGCGCTGTACGACAGACTCAACATCATCTGGAGTTGACGCAACTGTTGGAGGCGGCGGCCAAGGCCATGTCACGTTGGTCACGCAAAACATGAACCGTTGCGAAGTTGCGTACTGTAGGCTTCGAAACTGCGATCTCGCTGACAATTCGATGCTGGCCAATCAAACGTCAGGCATCGCGTAAACGACCTAGGATTGGTGCAAGTTCATGTATGCAGCCAATCCAAAACCGCTTGGTCCAACTGGATTGGTCCGTCGAGGAATAGGAACATTGCGTCGCCATGCGTCACTTGTCAACTTCCCGAAATCGTTGTCGAAGCTTCGCTGTTGCGCCAAGGGAACATTTTGCAATCTGTGATGAATCTATCGCCCCAGCATCACAAGCACCGCCTCCCGACCCCCGTTCCTGCTATCCCGACGCACAAGAAGCTCCTGCCAGGCACCTCCATGACCGCTGCCGCCTCTTCGTCGACGTCCGTGGCTACCAAGAAGAAGCTCAACCCAACGGCAACGCATAGTTTTTCCAAGCACATCACGATCGACATTTTGCGCCCGCATTTCGACAAACCGTTGGCCGAAGTCGCGAAATTGTTTGGGATTTGCACAACCCTCATGAAGAAGGTGTGTCGACGGGTCGGCATCCCTCGATGGCCCCACCGCCACATTCGATCGCTTCGCAAAAGCATTCTGTCGATGGAAACGGCCAGCAGTATGTTCGATGGGGTTGACCGTACGGCCTACGACATTCAAATTCGAAAGCAACAGAAGAGACTGGCGCTGTTGCTGTACAATCCTAATGCGATTGATATGGATGACGACGATGACATGGAAAACGATGACGAGAATACTTTGTCCGCACCCGAGACGACGTCAACCACCAGCGATTCCAGACACACATCCCCTGCTCGCAAATTGTCTGTGCACGGTCTGCCCCAAAGCTGCCACAGTCTCTTCCCATCCCCCGACTTGCCACCCCTCGACCTGAGCGAAGCTACGTTGGCTCGAACGTATACACATAGAGTTGCCGCTCCATCTTTGCCACGGCTGCCGTCAATCTCAACGTGGTATGGATAGAACGATCATCCTCTCAATAGCGCTAGGATACAATGTTATAGTGAATAGTCGAACCATTTTTTATTCAGTATGGGGTTTCACAAAGGGGGCGAAAGAGTTCTGCGACTTCGAAATTTTGAACCTGAGCAGGAAGACGGGAGTGGTAAAGTGACTCAGTATGACAAAGGAGGCGTCTTTACCACAAACGACAAACAAACTTCGCGGATGACCATCAACTAACTTCATTCGTGTATGGCAAACGACTCAATACGCTACCGGTGATCGTCATGTACCCATCCCCATGGTGACGACACCAGGGAGGGCTCACACCACGATGCAACTCGATCTTCATCTTGGAATCAATCTTTATTCCTTCCGTGCCATATATTCTCACTAGGGTTAGATTTGATTGGCTAAAATTCAACTTGGCCAATTTTGGTTGGCTTACGACTCTAATTCCCATTCTTCGAGCAAAAACAGGAAAAATCCGAACCTATTTCAGGTTGAATAGAATTGTTATACAAATTTCAAGACTTTATCAAATCTATATCCAAATCCTTGTTTTTTTGCTTAGTGTTGTTGTGTAAAGTATTCCAGCGACCGCCCACCGACATGCCGGAAGGAACGAAGAAGGAAACTCGCGCTCCGCTGAAGAAGGTCCTGACAGGGGCCACGGGCCGCCGCTCTCGCATGGACACGCAGGTGTCCATTCGGAAAGCTAGAAAGGAAGATGGGTACAATCAACGACGCAACCTCGCCGCGCAAGCCAAAGCCCAGGCTGAAAGCCAACCTCAGGAAAAGTCGTTGCTGATTGAACAGCTTGCGTCGCGCAGCCAGACACTGTTGGTGGGGCTGCAACATCCAGATAAGGAAGTACGTCGAAAGAGTTTGCGAGCGTTCGTCTACCTCATGAGCTCGGGGGTGCCGCCTCTGTTCGATGACGGAGACCCGCAGCACATTCCGTTGTGGAACACCATCACCACCGCCGTCCCATTCTTTGTCGCGACACTGGACAATCCCGACGTCCCCATGCAATCTGACGCGGCTTTTGCTCTTCGATTTATCTCGTCGATGGATCGATCCGCCCTCGTCATTCAAGGTGGCGCCCTCCCCAAGCTTGCTGTACTTTTGCATTGCGGTATATCTGAACTACAGATCCAGGCGGCGTGGTGTCTCGGCAACGTCGCGAGCGAGTCCAAGGCGTGCTGTGAAGCTGTTGTTCAAATTTGTCCGCCCATCCAGGTCATTCCGCACATTCGGTTGAGTACGCCGTCGCTCCGCCGCGCTGCTGTGTGGCTCTTGCGCAGCATGATTGACATGACGGACCTCCTAGCAACGATGCAGGTGCTGACGTCGCAGTTCGAGACCGAGCTTATCACTGTCCTGGGCAACGTGATCAAGCAGCTTGTGCTGGAAAAAGCCAAAGTGTGGGCCAAGGACAAGGACAAGGCGGAGGCGCCGTCGGTCGCCCCGTGGCGTCTCTTTGAGTTTCACACGGGAAAACCTGCGCCCAACGACATTGCGGTCGTTCGACTGCTGCGAGATATCGACGAAGCGACGGTCGAGGTGATCGACGTCGACGTGAACTTTGAAACGGGTGAAAACGTGACTTTTCGTGCCACTCGGGCGTCCCTTCGCCCGCTCCAAGCGATCGAAGACGCCATTGACGGAGACGGTGACGAAGACAACTCGGTCGCCCAGGATGCCGAGACGCTCGCGCTTGATGAGAAGGCGCTGACATTATGCGACTCGGCGTGGTCGGTCGTGGAAGTCACGTTGCACAACGCGTCGGTTGTCGACGTCCTGCTTTCGACGGGGGTGCTTCCCAAACTTGTGGATGCGCTCCACATGTACACGTCGCCAATGGTGCTGTCGCCGCTCCTGCGATTGCTCGGTTACCTCATTTCGCACGACGAAGCGCATGCCCAGGTGTTACTGGATGCGGGGCTTTTGGCCACGTGCCCCCGCGTTCTCCAAAACGCTAGTCGCGCCATCCGCGAAGAAGTGTGCTGGTTGCTATCCAACTTGGCCGGCGGAAAGGTCGAACACGTAAGGACATTCGATAATGTCGATTCGAATCTCACGCGATATGTGGGTGCTTGGATTAGATGAATGCAGTGTTGGCGGCCCCCGGCGTCGTCGCTTCTATAGTCGAGCAGCTGACGTGGGCCGAGTACAGCGTCAAGCGGGAGGCTGGCTGGGCGGTATGCAACCTTCTCGTCAAGGCGAGCGATGCCGTGGCGGGCGAACTGGTCCGCCTGGACGTCCTGTCGGCGCTCTCGACCCTCCTTGACGAGTATGAAGATCCGAGTATGGAACTCGTGATACTCGAAGGAATCAACGCTGTCCTGGAGAAGGGCAAGGACGACGGGAAGGTTGCTGTCGAAGAGAGTGGGTGCTTGAAGTGTGTCGAGAATTTGTGCTATGCGGCCAACGAGCAAGTGAGCGCGGCCGCCGCGCACATTATTGACACGTGGTTTGACGGCGCCATGGACGACGACGTGGATGGCGACGTGGCGCCTGCTGCTGTCGACGCAACGACTAACACATTGGCGTTCCAGCCTGCGACGGCTCCGTTCCACTTTGGTTAACGACATTGCTAGACGTGACTTAAAAGGTGTTATCTCAGATCCATGCCATTGTTCAAAGCCGGTGGAATCGAGGTATTTATTCGTCCAATTCATCTACGTCGTCCAGAGCGTCTTCGTCATCCTCTTCGTCATCTTCGTCGTCGTCGGCGACTTCGTCTTCGAACGTGTTGAGCGGGACCGAATAAATCCGCACGACGGGCTTGTTGGGGTCCTTCATCATCACGTACTTGCCTTCCGGCTGCTCCATGAACAACTCGACCAGCATCTTAATGATGCCCCACGCGTTCGTCAGGCTCAGCGACGTCTGCTGCGCAAAGTCGACGGGGTTGTACGACTGCGTCGCCAAAATCACGTGCGCCTGGTTGTCCTTGGTGTTGTGGCGGGTCACGTACCCGAGCTTCATGAGCCCGGCGTTTGCCAGGAGAGCCGAGTGCGTCCACTGCGCCAACTTCGGCGCGTTGTTCTTGAGTTCGTTGGCCAGCAATGCCCCGCGCTACTCGAGAAAGCATCAACGTCGCAATTCCCACCACCAACGAATCAAGAACCATCCATTCATGTCCACCAACACAAGAAGCCACACACGCATGCCATCTCTCAGATCTTGAACGATTGTCGATCCCGCCACCGACATCTCCGCATCGCTGCGGGAAGCAGATGTCGTCCGGGCGTACAGATTGTAGAGTCCTCCGCAAGATGAACGGTCAAACCAAGACTCATATGCATGACAGATAGGCACGGCTGACATCTTTCAGATCTTGAACGATGATACGATTCCACCATCGACATCTCCGCATCGCTGCGGGAAGTAGATATCGTTTGGTAAAAAATGTCATGGGGTCCTCCCCAAGATGCCACCGCCGCCAAACACGAGAAACGAGGTCGAGGGGTGTACCTGCGAATCGATTTTCTTGCGCCAGTCAATGCCGCCGCTGAGCTTGGGGTCCCACTCGTTCAAGGCAAACGTCTTGACCGTTTGTTCGACTTCACCTTTGAGCGAAAGCGCATTCACCTCACAGCGAGCGACCAAGTTGACCGAATCGTTGAGCGCCCACCGCCGGTACTTGTACGCGACAGGGGCTGTGTTGTCCGGGAACGGGTTCGGGTTGTACGTTTTGGTGAATTCGGTCGCCGGACGCAGCACTTGCTGGGCAAAGAACGTGTTAATGTCTGTGGCTTCGACGGCGAGGCGGTCGGGGTGGTTGACGCTGTCGGGCTCGTCCGGGTTCGGAGGTTCCAATGCGGTTTCGTTGACCGAGAGGAGATCGATGCCGGACGAGATGTCGCGCTTGTCGAAGAAGAGCAAGTTGTTCACGCGCTGCACAACAATATCCCACGGGTACACGGAGCGCGGGCAGCTCATGAGGTGCGCCAAGATTGCGTCCGTGGCGAACACCGTGCCTAGTCCACTGCATCAGACGATGGCGCGACAACTCAATTCCCAGACGCGGCACCAACACATTCCCTCAGCCACAAAACTCTCAGCATGCTCAAAGCAATCAGAATAGCGTATAATGGATCATCAACGGGAACAGTAGGGCCAACGGCGTCAGTCAGGGTCACAGGCACACTCTTACCAGCGCCTTCGGTGGCCAACGACTCAATGACGGGATCTTCCGTCGTAGTCACGGCCACATTCTCCTTGATTTCGAATCGCGTCAGCGGCTTGGCAGTGCGGGAGGACATGCGGTCGAAGTTATCGTCGTATTTCAGGAGCGTGCCGAACGTCTTGAGGTCCTCGGAGGCAGGGATGTTGGCTTGCAGCTTCAACAGTTGCTGCAGTTCGAATTGTTGCACCAGCTTCCACTCGGTGCTGATTTGGACAGACGCCATGCGCTCTTTGGTTTCGCCGTCGCGGCGCTTGGTTGTGAACATGCGGCGGGCGTTCGAGAGACGGTCCCATCGCTTGTTCTGCTTCTGTTGGCCCTTCTTCATCATTTGGCTCTGCGATTCCAAGGCTGTCATGCCCTGGCCAGGTGTCTTGCCATTGCGGTTGTTGAGGCGGTTGGCAGCAAATCGCTGTTGACCCCACGTCGGGCGGAGGCGTGTGTTGTTGCGGGTGGCCTTGGCCGTGTCCACCAGTTGGAACGAAGAGTCTTCGATCGCGTCGTGCTTGTATTGGAACTCAGCATTCACGCCAGACGGGTCGGTCACGCGCTGGTAGCGTCCCGGTCGGTTGGCATTGGCAGTCTGGTATTGCGCCGTGAAATCGGCGGCCTTCCCCAACTTGTCCAGCTTGCCAAACGGGGCATACGGGATGTTAAGGAACTGCTTGGGGAGTTCGGTTGGGCCCCAGCCTTTGGTGTTGCAGGTCACGACGGGAGTCGAGAATGACGCCATCGTCGGGTTTTTGGAGAATGCTCCAGCCAACCATTTAAGGCCCCGAACCAAGTCTCATTGGCTGGAAATCATTGTATTCTTCTAATTGAAAATATATTCATTTCAGTCCTAAATTCAAAAATATAAGTAAGAAATAGGAACACCAAGAAAAGAGCTCGCCACCTCCAGCGCATTTTCCTGACACGATCATGGAGCGATCATGGAGCTCTGCAGAGGAGCACATGGTTTATGCCATCTATGCACTCCATCCCGTCACACTACATCAGGGGATGGGAACTGAAGGTTGTGGAGGCGGCCGAATCCGAGAAGGACGTTCGAAATGAGAAGTACCGCGCATGCCGAGTGGTGAACAGGTCGCAGGATGTAGATCGGTGCTTTACTGCCACACATGTCGTTTCGTCGCACTGGGTTGACGTGACTTTTCGGTGTCTTGGAAAACAGCGCAGGGCTAGCTCAGCCACGACATGCCGGTGTGGCACCGTTCAAAGAGAAGACAAAATTACGCTGGTTTGCAGGTTTCACGTACAGAACGTGTTGCCAACCATGTGAAAGGCAGTGGAGTTCTCCCCATGACAAGTATGGAGATAACAGTGTCATGAAAGGATTGCAACTACAACGAAGGTCGAGGTTTCAGGTCACTTTCGGAGGATTCTCCGCCACGGCCAGCGTCTCGATGCAGCGGAGGTCTGTCTTTCGATGTCTCCGCTCCGTTCGTTGTGAAAAGTCGGTCGACTTGATCGTGTCGGACCTCTCCCAGCAAGTTGTAAGGTTGGAGCGAGTGGGGGGAGGTCGCCACGAACCACATTGCCTTGTGTCGTGGCTGTGTTGAGCAAATCAACTCCCTGTCAGACTTATACCGATATCCCCCTTGCCACGCCATCACTTGACCACGTGCCACTGTTCATTCTTTGCGGCTAGCACCATCCCCCAAGGTCTGTAAAGCGGGTACCCACCGCAGGACCTCCTCATTGCCACTTTGCGGCTGAGGCGTCCATCGCGTCGCCTCAACACGCTTGCCTCGTCGAAACCCCGATTCCTCTGTACCCCTGCCAAGGGACCACTCGCTATGGCGCCGTCGATAGCTTCCTAAGACCCCAAAATTGTCAAGCGAAATAAATATGATCCATAATATAAACCTCTAAACATATCGTCGCCAGCCGTCCGCCCGCAGTCCCTGCCACGAAAGGTACATGTCCGACGACCCGTCTTGGCCCTAACCAAGAAGCCAACGAGCCACCTACCCCATCTCGCGACGTCAACGATAACGCTAGGTCGATCCAATTATCGTCCGCTTCGATTCGTATGGAAAAACGGAAGGACTGCCATGCGACCGTTTGCCGCCGCTCCATCCATGTGGCTTGTACTGCATCCTTCCGAGTGATCGCCATGAAAGTAGTCGGCAACATCCACGTAGTTGTTGTCTGCAGCCATTTCCATGGCATCTTCCGTAGTCGGGACAATTGGAGTTGCTCGAAGAATTGAACGATGTCAAGGCACGAGTCCTGGCTGCCGCCTCCAGCGCAAACGACGGGCACGCCTAGCCATCGGAATTCAGATGCGGTTCGAAGAGCTCAAGCACATGCCGTTGGTTGCTCCTCGCCACCACGTCAACCAACACAAGCATATCATGGCCTCACTGTGTGAAACTCGAGGGTTCACTCGATGACGTCGACTTGACAGGAAGATGCACCATGTAGCAGAACGATGCCATGCATTCCTTCAACGCACCCAACGAGCCGACAAAACGTACACGAGCCACCACAGACCACCACCGGCCACTGCAGCATGTCCTTCGTGAGGAGAGTCGACGTCCAGCGGGAGATGTTGTCCATACGAAAGGATCGCAATCTCGAACAGAACCAATTCGTGCCCATGTTGAAATGAATGCATTTTCCATGAAATATTTCCGAATCTTTTGCGCTTTTGAAAAAATACTTTTAGCCAATCATCCAGTGGAATACAACACTCGTGAATTGGGATCACATGAGCGCCAAGAAGAAGGTGCAAAAGCAAATGGAGTTCTACTTGAGCCCGTCGAACCTGCGGCAGGACAAGTTTCTCCAGCAGAAAATGCAGCTACACGACGACGGCTTCATCGAGATCGACGTCTTTCTCTCGTTCAACCGCATCAAGTCCCTTGGTGCAACGACACGCATGCTCACTGAAGCAATCCAGAAGTCCTCGATGTTGATCCTCAACGACGCAAAGACCCACGTCCGACCAAGGGAACTTCCCGCTGCGGGGGAAGATGACAGTCTTGGTACGGACTCTCGTTGCATGTGCTCGTCTCATTCGTCTTGTCTGCGTAGTTCGGACCATCTACATAGAGAACTTTCCATGCGGATCTGACCACGATAGTCTCAGACGTATGTTTGCACCCTTCGGAAAGGTCAACTTGGTCAGCATGCCTCGATTCCCTGGGTCTCAAAAGTTCAAAGGGTTTGCGTTTGTCGAGTTTGCGGCACCCGAAACAGTTGACGCAGTGTTGTCCGTACTGAAGCAACCACCTCGCGACGGCCATCCCGACTTGGCTGGCATAAAAGGCATGACCAAGTCCAAGTGGCTTCAGTTACGAAATAGCCTCAAGGAACGAATGCACCATAACTCGGCCCAAACTACGTCAGGAACATTGAGACAAGCGGTGGAAGCGGCGGCCAAGGCACCTGGGGCCAATGTCGACTTCTTCACGCGTGGGCTATTGATTCAACTGTCCAACATCCCGGCGGACACATCTCGGAAAGAGATCAAAGGCGCGTTGGAAGCCGTGGCTCCCGTGGCATTCCTGGATGATGCCAAGCTCAAATTTGGTGGCGACATTGCGTTCGCACGCTTCCTGTCGACGTCACACGCCCAACGAGGTGCACCACACAACGTTTTCCTTGAAAGCATTTGCTAACGCTAACGAATTTCAGTGCTTGACACATTCAAGCGAGCTCCTTTGACTCTCAAGGGGAACGACATTGTGATCGATCTCGTGACTGGAGAGAGCGAGGTCGCGTACTGGACGGCGCTTGTCAACCATGCCGCGAAAGCGACCGAGGCATCTTGTACGCCCGCCCAGACCAAGCTACCCAAGACACCACCGACGACAACCCATGTGCTCTTCGACGACTCCGACGAGGCGGCTCCGAAGCGACAGAAACTTGTGCATTAAGATTGATTTATATGCGAAAGCATGCCGTGTCAATGTGCTCGACGTTATATGTGTCGGCGAGGCGCTTGATCATTCCCTTGCGGTTCGTGCTGTTGGCGCTGTCGCACACGAGGTCGTAGAGTGTGCTCAAGTTGAACACGATGGCGCTGTGCAAGTGCCGCCGCGGATCGCTTTGCAGCACTGTCTCGAGGACTGTCACCGCCGTCTGGACTTCGCACGAGTACAGCGCACAGATGCTCATATTGTTGGCGGCGCTCGACACGACGTCTCCATCATCCCACGAAGCGAACGGTTCGGTGCTGTCATGGTCGACTGCGTCATCGCCACTGGAGACAAGACCACATGAGGCCTTCAAATCAGCACGAGGGTGCGCACCTGTACACGCCCAAGATGGTATTGAACGCGTCGAGGGCTTCTTTAAACTACATCTCCGTCGAAAGAACGATCGAGAACACGGCAGCACGTACGCGATTGTGAGCAAAGTGGAGGAGCCCCTGGTTTAAGAGCAGCCGCGCCGAGCAATCTGCGGGAAATATCGTGACGTCGATCATGGTTGAATTGTGAAATGTACCGTGTCGAGGGGAATCGATCTGCAAGTTGAAAGCAGCCGCATCCGCAAACAATTCTTCCGCCCGCGTCAAGTCGCCCAGTTGCAAGTAAATGCGCCCGAGACGTGAAGCCAAGATCACGCGCTGCCTAGCGTCGGCGCCAAGGTGCTGGGCCTGCAATGGATGAATAGAGACGTCCAGCCCGACGGGGGCAATCGTACGCTGTACAGGGCCGTGGCGAGGCGCAGGGCGGCGTCAAACTTTTTTCGATCGAGGAACGAATGGATCAAGTTTGTCGACACAATGTGCTGCCACTCGGTCGCGTTTTCAGGCGTCAGGTCAAATGCGTTTTGCTGCAAATCCACAAGCAGCTGGCTCGCCATCGTCTCGTACATGGACACGTTATCTAGCGACTCGATGGTCACGTCACACCCGCCACATGAAGTTTGATACTTTTCAAGCGCGGCAACTGCACCGCCATGTACCGCAGACGCAACGGCACAAACGATCCGCGCTTGCCGCCGTATTGCTACCCAACACGACGTTGGACAGACGATTCAGGTGGCGCGTCCTGCAAATACCTCTGGGTACGACTCGTACTGGTACTGGTGGTGGTCCAGATCGCCAAGTACAATCACTTGCTGCTCGAGGTCGTCGATTTTGCCAAGCTTCATGAGAGCCACCATGGCCCACGTCTAGAAGGGATGGAGCATTGGTGGATGGCCACGAGCACCGTTTGGCTTGGACGTACATGCACGTGCAGGTTGAATTCAGGGTCGGGTGAGCTCAGCATGCTCCATGCTTTCGCTTCAAGTTGTTGCCACTGTTGCTCCCGATACAAGCCCACCAGTGTGTCCAGCGTAGGCGGAAGGTCGTACACGTTTGTGACGGGGGACGGGAGCTTGTCGGGGGCGACATGGCTCATGAATTCCTCGAACAAATCGTCCACAGTTCGAGGAGCCATCGTGATGTCCCGCGAGAGTTGGCTTTGCGGCGAAGGAGGTGGCCGCTGTGGTTGCGTCGCGAATGGCTTTGGTGATGCTGACGGTGGAGGTTGATTGAACAGCGTGTTCGGCGACGTAGATGGAATGTGGGGATGCGGACTCGAGTTGTAGTTGAGAAAGGGCGCGGCGGGCGGCGGCGGGGTCGCGGGCGGTTGGTTCTGGTACTGCAATTGTCGGAAAGGGTCGTGCACGTTGGATGGCGCGGTCTATAGAAGATTTGTGATATCATTCAAGGCAACACAATGTCACCTCAAAGGGGCTGTTGAAGCTGTCTCGTCGCGCTGGCGGCAGCGGTGGGGCACGTGCAAATGTGTTGGGGTCGTTGGTGGGAAATGCATCGCTTCCCACGGAATCGCCTGAGTTGAAGTTTGACGTAAACAGGTCGCGCGGCACAGCAGCGGCGCTGGGTGGAGGTGGGGCTTGAAATATGTTGGAAGATATGGGAAACGACGATGTGATCGATGGAACACGCTGGAAGGGATCGTCATGCTGAATGGACAGTCCTGCAGGAAGCTCGGTCGGACCGCCAAATGGTGTCGAGTTGAGGTTCGTCGTCTGAAATGCATGGACAAGTGAATCGGTATCGAATTCGTGTGTGTGAAATTGGGCAGGTTTTGGTGGGTTCGCAACCCCAGTTGTGTCGGCCATCGGCGGAGGATCCGGCAACTGCTTGTGGCCGAGTGGCGTGTTCAACTGACTTGACGCTGATGGTCGGAATGGAACTATGGACGAGCATGATGGAAAATATAAGCTGGCTGGTTTTGAAAGTACCTGTGCCTGGGGGTACGCCGAATACAGCCCCAGGTCGAACTTGATTCACCGTCGCGACAGGTCTACATCAAAGGATAACGCAAGTTTTATCAAGTCATTCAGCACCCGGATGCAAATGGATTCGCAGCGTTAACACGTTTGGCTGGCTGACTGTTGAGCGCAGGTGGGCCTCCAGGCGTGAACCCTCCATGCCGGTCGTCGTCGCGCTGACTCATGCTCGCGCTTCTTCCTTCCCCAACCAATACGGATACCCGGGTCATGTTATCCGGATTGGCCACGTGGTACCTGTAAAAATGAATATCGACCACATTTTATCGTAGTAGTACTATTCGTCACCTCTAGTAGTACCTATTCATCTCAGATGACTCGACATCGCATCCGTGTCATTCTCTTACTGTATAACGTGCCACGTGGCGAGCGGAGATTGTTGTATTAAACGCATGCGTTAAACGTCCAAGTCAGGGGTGATTCCATCCGTTGTATGGAAGCCGAGGCACGTTAAAACACGCCGTGAGACGAGAAGCATACTCACATCAAGATCCATTTTGTGGTCGAAATCTCCCTCGAAATCGCAGCATTTTCAGCAACACGGTGTCCGAATACAGGAGGAAGTCGTGTGAAAGGGTGCACGCGGGAGAGACCGGACGGGTCACGAATGCCATGTGTCCCTTCGCCGTCGAGAGGGTATGGTCGCGATCAGCGCTGGGACTCGAATGCAGTAGAAGTATCTGGACGTCGCTGTCGTGGCGGGTGGTGTTCAGCAGCCACCCACGCCACCCACGAAAGACCCGCGAGCACAGGCGGCATCAGGGTGGTATTGGTCGAGTTGCAACAGAGTGTTTGGACGAGCCAGCAGGATGGACGGCAGATCGAGACCTGTGCGCGGCAGCCACGATGCAAAAAACCATGTGGTACTCGCCCAGCGCAACCCCGGTGTCCGTTCTGTGTTGCATTTGTCATTCCCTTTAGCGGCACCCATGCAACGCCGCCGCCGTCTCGGTGTGGCGATGGGGATGGCGTTGCTGGGTATCACAGGCGCCGCTTCCAATGCGAACTATTCGTTCTGTCGAGCGAACGTCTTGTGCACGATGCTCAGTGGACTCGAGTGCAATCGGTCTGGCGGGCGTTGCCCGCCATGTATATTCCAGCGCGCCGCAGGTGCAATGGATTGTAGAGAAAAGGTCTCGATGGAGCAGACATGCCCACAAGTCGAGCTTCCCCTTCTCGTAGACTGCGGTACGATGTGTGACGGCCGCCGTGACGCCCTCACCTGTACATAGATGGCGAGATCTCGACCACGTCGATGCCGCCTTCAACTACTTCCCAGGCGATGCCACCCACGACTTCGTTGGTATCAACGACCGTCCAACCTGCCAACAAGGATGCAACAACGAATCCAAGCGCAGGTAAGGTACCTCGTTTGACTCTTTCGTCGAGATCACGTGCACGGCCAGATGCAAACCACACCAAGTCTTTCGTGTACTGGATCATCGCCGTCGCCGGGGTCCTGTGCTTTCTACTCGGAGCCATTTGCGTCGTGCGGCACCGCAAGTCGACGAGGAGAGAGTGTGTGGTGCCGCCAAACATTCAGCCCGTGCACAAAATCCCGTCCGACCCCGTCGACACCGACGACGTGTCGATACCCCCGCCATTAATCCTTGTCTCCGATTCGCAGCGGGAAGACTTGCTGGACCGTTCGCCCCGCTTCGACTCGCCAGCATTTATCTCGGTCTCAAGTGGGCCATCGTCTGCGGACGACGACGACATCCTCAGCACCGTCTTCATGCGGTTCCGCACCACGGTGGACTATGCAAACGACGAACGGAATTCGGTGTTTTCCTTGCTCTCGCCCATGAATTCCCCCGACACCGTATCCACTGACGACGACGAAGTCGATATTTAGAGTGTAGAATGTGTAAGTGTTGCGAAGTTGACGTGCCATGTGAATCAAACTGCTGCCACGGGACGAGGCTTGGAGCCCACAGGCGCGCGACGCGATCGCGTCCCCTGCTCGTGCCATCGGATGAACCCGATCGGTTCAGACCATTCGGAGCGGCGGCACCCACGTAGCCGGTATCGTCGAGCACGGTTGGCGCAGCAACATGGCCCACCACCACGAAGGAGTGCATCCATGCACGACATTTCGAGAGGGATGGATCGATGACAACCCCACCATCCCTCGACGCGTGGATGGAGTGGTGAGCGATTGCTGTTGCAGCATCGCCGTACCAAAAGGTCCAGAGACTTGATACGGACGTCGTACCTTCACAATCACACGGCATCGATGGCGGGTGCATACACACGATGGCCGTGGCCAGTTCCGCGAACGATTTCGTCGTCGCAGCGAGGTGATGCCGTCGTTCTTTCTTGCCCGAACTCGACATTCTTGTCCGAAGATGGTCTGCTTGAGAGGAGCGCGGAACCAATCGACGAAAGGGACTTGCCACGGCGGCTCCAGGTACCTACTGGGGGATCCAGTAGCCTGTCATCATGTTCCGTTGCGAAATGCATTCGCAAAGGGGGGGGGTCTCTGATGGGCGAATTGTGAGCGGCACTTGGCCAGTGATTGTTTTCACGAGGGTCACTGCCACTTCTCATGTGCCGTCATGGACAAAGGCAAGGCGGAGCGACATTCTATTCGTTCCTTCGGAATCAGGGGTGGGCGTCGCGTGGAAGGTATATTGAAACACACTGCGAGCCAAATCCCACCGGCGAAACAACTCGCGCACAGCGAGGGCACGACAGTGGATGCGCCCGTGGACACCGCGCCTCCGAATGTGCGATATGCGCCATCACCGCGCAATGTTGGCAGATTCGGTCCAGCGCACCCATGGTGTAGGTATATCTCGAGTAGTCTGCAGAGGAGATGTACGTCATACTTGTTAAAGGGTATAGCGCAAGCAAATACCCTACGTGAATCGGTAAAAGCTTGCTCTGGATTGGGACAATATGTTTAGCGCAGTGAGTTTAATACATCGGTGCTTGGTGACGCAACTCGAGCATGCGATGCTTGCGTAGTATCGGGCCAGTGGAGCACGTGGTGGGAGCGGATGGCAACCAGCTTGCGCGGACGCTCGAGGATCGATATCTGGTATAGTCCAACTGACTGGACGCCATGGAGGTCGCCGCCAACACCAGTGCCCCTCCGACGACCCAGCTTCCGAACAAGACCGCCGTGGACGCTGCGGCTGACGTTGTACTCGTCGTTGGCATCGGAATAGGATTCTTGGCCCTCGTGTGCCTCGTCCTATTGTTTTGTCGCCGACGGCGCCGTAGCAGCGACCTTCAGCACGACGACCACCTTCACACGAAAATCTGGGAGACCGCAACGCACGGCGAGTCACCAGAAGGTGTGTACGTGATGGAAGAAGCGAACGGAAAGCATCGTGCGTCCAACTTGTTCGTCCCAGAGGACCACGGGCATCGGGGAGTTCGACCTAGCAACATTTTCATTCGAGACGTCGTCGTCTGTCCAATCCATTCAAAGCACCATTGCAGCAAAAACGACGACATTGTTCTGCTCGAAGACGACGAGTTGATGCGCGTGAGTGGCCGCTACCCACCTCGCCCCAACGGCGTAGCAACGGCGCCATCCTTATCTTCCCTGCAGGCAATTGTACTGCAGCCCGCTCCAACTCAGCCACATCGAGCGCGACCACGTCTGTCAACGGAAGACGATTCGGAGGCCGGCGACATCGTCCATGAAAAGTTAAGTCTGCGGCGGTCGACGGATTCATTTGCCCAGGACGACGACGGCGGCTGGAGCACGAACTTGTCCTTTGTGAGCGAGATGTCGCTGCTCGACTCCGGGCGCGGGGATCGCATGTCCACGATTAGCTTCACTAGCAACGACGACGATGCGATGGAGGCCAAGATTTAGAAAGCCAGACCGCGTCAAAATATGCCACCTAATATATTTATCACCACGTCTTACGCTCATTGATAGCGTCTGCGCTCACATTACATCAATAACTCGACCTGAAACTATTTTGAGCGAATAGGCCATCCATACTTCTGCATTCGCCTGGACTACGAAGGAAGCCATCTGGCTGAGGAGGAGCGGCCATTGTCCCGCTCTACGCGCTTGTGTCGCTTGTGACAGAGAGCACATCTCGATCAGCTCGTCTCTGTCGGTCACCTGTCCGTCCCGTCAGTCGAGAACACTGGTGGCGGGAATGCGATGGCTCACCCTCTTCATGGCGACTGTAGTCGCAAGACACAGCGAAATCGCCAACACAGGACCCAACACGACAGGAGTGATTTGCCGCACCGTTCGAGTTTGTGCACTTCCACACTCTCCAGCGTCAAGTTGTCGGCGGCAAGACGAGCAATGCCCACCATGCTTGATGGACCTTGGACCCGAAGGATACGCATGCGTGGAAAAGGAATCGACCGGCCAATGTTCCGCCCATCAAGTCGACTGCTCGATCCATGCTATTGTCATACACCCATCCGTTCGAGGGAGTGCAAATGCCACCATCGGCTACACAATCATGTACCCACAGACGACGCCACAGGAAGGGCTGACCAGCATGCACATTGGCTACATCATCGGCGTGTCTGTCTGTGCGGTTGGAATCGCGGCCTTTCTCTTCCTGCAATCGCCGACTCGAGTGGAAACAGATAAAGATGACACATCGCTGTCCCTCCCGTTCAAGAAAACGGCGCTGAGTCCATTGATGGATTCAAGGCGCGCAGGGGGCGGCGACGTCGACCTGACCTTCCTCGATACTCAGCAATTCATGACGCTGTCCCATCAGTTTATGACGATGCCAAGGCACATTCCGCTGCTGGAAGATGGACAAATCGACATGGATACCCTCATGAAGACGCACTATCCACAAGGACCAGACAGGGCCAAGATCACGATGGAGACACCGCAGTCCTACACGTTTTCGTCGCTGAGTGTGTCCGACTCCGAGAGGGACGAATCCATGTCAGGAAGTCTCTCTTGGAAAGAGAAGCGGTCAAGTGTAGTATAACTTAATGGGGAGCCTTGCCTCAATCATGTTCGCCGCCCTTCACACGCGTCGCCATGGCGATGGAACCACGCCATCATATCCTTCGCCCACCCCACTTGAAAAAACGTGAATACGTTGACATTTCAAACGCTTCGAGCAGATTCTTAATTCGTTTTAAATGCATTTAAAAACTCTAGTCGTTTCGGAGGGAGACTCCCCACGCGGCAGTCGGAAAGGGAGACGAGCGATGGGCGATCGCGACGAGGTGAGACTTGAACGAGTCCGTGAAGCGCTCACACCAAACTCTGGACAGGACCACCACAGTATATGCAGCCGACCAGGCTACGATCCTGCGTTCATGAAAGAGGGGTACCTCCAGAAGAAAGGGCAGCTCCTCAAGGGATGGAAGAAGCGGTGGTTCGTTTGCGATGGCCGGTCTCTCAGCTACTACAGTTCCAAGTTGGAAAAGAAGCCCAATGCTGTGATTCCTCTCGAGTCGGCGACGGTTCAAGACGGGGGAACGAGTGAGACGTGGAACTCGCCTCGTATTTACCTCACCGACGGCACCAGCGGAACAATGTACTGCTTGTCTGGGGACGAAGGCGATGTCGTGTCCCAATGGCTCGAGGTACTTGATCGGGCCGTGAAGCGCATTCATGAAAAACGCGAGTTGAGCCAGCCGAGCGGCCCAGTCCCGCGCAGCAAGAGCCACATTACGCCGTTCGACGAGGAGGAGGGTCGGCAGAAGCCATTGCACGCCGAGAAGTCTCCTACACGGAAGGCTCTGTTTGTGTCGTCTTTCTCCGACGTCGGAGGGCAGACCGCGAAACCTCGCAGTGGTCCGGAACATGCTCCTCAATTTATGGCAGTAAAAAACAGAAGCGCTCACCTTCCAACCACCATTCGCCTCGAGAACGAGCTCTCGACCGCATCCGAGCTGCTCAATTGTCTACTCTTCAACAAACCGGCCTCCGATCACTCTCCCTCAATTTGCTTTCAGTACGACGGTGTCGTCGACGGAGTTCGCATCAGCACGGCCGTCGACCCGTCCTCCGGGAAGCAGTACGCGCGCGGCAGTTCGATTCTCCCCGTGGCGCCATCACTTGCCTTGCGCATTCTGTTGGACCACCACAAGCGCCACGAATGGGACAATTTGTTTCCCCGTTCAACGCACGTTGCGACGTACGGTGGGTCGACCGACCTGATCCATCTCTCAGGCGGGGATCCAGCTGGGTTCTTTGACGGCCCTCTCCTGGCGACTGCGTCGTCCCCCGTCCTCCCCGCCGCAGCTGCCGCCATCGCGTCAAGTCTTTTGTCTCCGTCGGACTGGCTTGTGCACGCCGCAGCTGGGGCTATCTTGGGTGGGGTCGCCGCTTCCGTGGACTGGCGACCCCTCGTCCGGTCGCGCGATTTGCTGCTATTGCGCCACGTGTACGAGGCCGTGACCCCCGCCGGCACGTCGAGTGGAACGGACCGGTCGTCCTGCCAGCACTTGCTGGACGCCGTGGGGGTGTCGACCGGCGCGAACGCGATGATCATTGCCGAAATGTCGGTCACCAACGAGCTCAAACCGGTCGTGGCTGGCGTCGTCCGCGCGCACATTGGCGTCAGCGGATGGCTCGTGGAGCCCCTCGACACGGAGTCAACCCTCGTGACATACGTGACAGATATGAACGTCAAGGGATGGATCCCGGCGTACATGCAACGCGCCGTCCACATGCGGCGGATGCAGTGCCTCGGTGCCATCTCTGCCTTTGTGGCCCATGCCAAGGTCCTTGGTCCAACGTTGGGTTATGAAGACGACGATGACGACGAGACGGTCGGCGTCCTGTCTGGCGCAGTTAGCGCCAGCAGCCTTGTCGGGTCGACGACGGCACCGGAAAGCACTGGCGACAGCAACGCAGGATTCCACCCGCGCGATTACTTCCGAATGGTGGTGCAAGTGCCGTCTGGCGGCGTCAAGCTTACGGACAAAGACATTGCGAAGAAGCAGAACGGCGTGCTCATGGAAGTTATCAAGAACATGGGGACCAAGCTGCTGGACGGCAAGTCCGCCGTGAGTCTGTCGCTGCCAGTCCGCATTTTTGAACCCCGGTCCATGCTCGACCGACTCGTCGACTTGTACTTGTACGCACCAAACTACCTCAGCGCAGCAAATGACACGACCGACATGATCGAGCGGTTCAAGCTGACGATGGCGTTCGCTGTTGCGGGATGGCATCACACGGTGGGGTGCATGAAACCATTCAGCCCGATCTTGGGCGAAACGATGCAGGCGGAGTTTGTGGATGGCGCCACGGTCCACTGCGAGCATGCGAGCCACCATCCCCCGATCAGTTATGCGCAGATTGTCGGCCCCAAGTACACGATCAACTCGTACTCGATCTTGAACGGGAGTCTGCAGACCAACTGCATTGTGCAGGTCCAGCAAGGGCCGGTCCGCGTCACATTCTTGGACGGCGCCGTGATCGAGTTTACGTTGCCCGCTATCCGCATGGGTGGATTTCTCTGGGGCGACCGCGTCGTGGAACTCGTGGGGTCGATTCACTTTCAAGACAAAGCAAACGGCATCTCGTGCGAACTCAAGCTCAACCCGGATGAGAAGAAGGGCATGTTTGCGTCCAACAAAGTACCGACGGATCGATTCCGCGGGACGCTCGTATCCAAGATGGACGACGTGTGCGAAGTGTCAGGGTCGTGGCTCGAAGAGCTCCGGTTCGGCGACAAGGTGTACTGGAATTTGCAAAAAGACCAATGTGCCCCCGTCGTGCGGCTCCCAGACGACAAAGTCCTTCCATCTGACAGCCGAAATCGCCAGGATCTCAAGTTTCTCAGCCAAGACGACTTGGAGGATGCGCAAGAGTGGAAACTCGCTCTGGAGAAGTTGCAGCGCGCCGACCGTACCAAGCGAAAAGAAGGACGACGGCCGAATCACTGGACCTATGGGTCGGGGCATTAAGGCATCAAGGGAGAGCACTTTCGACGCTCATGGAGGCTTAAGGAATCAACAGTCGAGCGTATGTGCAGCAATGGCCCCTTCGATGGAGGCAACGTGTATTGCAATGCGCAGCGTCTTGATCTGTCAGCAGGGAATGGAGTTCGTGATGCACCGGACGCTTTCGTTCATTCCGTTGTTCTCATCGCTCGGCTGCGCATGAAGAAGCGAACGGACTCGATCGTGTCGGCCGTTGCAACATGGAAAACGCACTTGAAAACGGTCATGACGGTGGGTTTTAAACACCGATTTTATTTGTTTTAAACAGATGAGGTATCAGAATGAAGTTATGTCCCATTCGAACGACGGCAGGCATGAGCGACCGAAGTCTGGACGAAGTACGTCGGCGAAATGTCCAGGTTTGGCTCATGAGGGTCGTGGACGTAGGAGCACGCGGGTTTGTCCAGCCGGCCGGGATTCGATCCTACCTTCATGAAGGAAGGATACCTGCAGAAACAAGGCCAACTCCTCAAAGGGTGGAAGAAGCGATGGTTTGTGTGCGACGGACGCAGCTTGAGTTACTTTCACACAAAGGCAGACAAGACACCGTCCGCGGTTATCCCTCTGGAGACCGCGACGGTACAAGGCGGAGGTACAAGCGAGAGATGGAACGGTCCTAAAATCAACGTCACGGATACCGTCAGCGGCGTGGTGTATTGCTTGTCTGGGGAGGACGGGGCCACCGTGATGCAGTGGCTCGACGTCCTCCAACACGCAGTTCAACATATTTCGAATACCAAAGCGGCGACAGACTGCACGACACCGCTGCGACACAAGAGCCATAGCTTCCCGTCGGGAATGAAGGCCAACACGGACTTTTCTATACGTGGATCTCCACGCAAACCTCCGGCATCCATATCTGAATCCATTGTGCTTGCACCGAACTCCGCCGCGTCATCTTCAAAGCGATCCAAATCGCGGGCAGCAGCAGCAGCGAAACAGCCGCCAGTGCTCTCCACGTCCCTGCGACTCGAGAACGACTTAACCGCTGCCATGGAACTCCTCAGCACGCTCCTCTTCCAGCACTCCCGCTTCCATATCACGCCATCTTTGGATGATGACCAGGATCCATCCAACGTGCGAATTGGAGTCGTCACCGACCCCGCGACTGGAAAACAATACGTTCGCGGAACCATCGTGTTGGACGTCGTGCCGGCTCTGGCTTTGCGTGTACTGCTTGATCCTCGAAAGCGGCCCGAGTGGGATGTGCATTTCCCTGACGCTTCCCTCGTTGCATCCTTCGGCGGTGCCACGGACCTTCTGCATCTCGCGTCGACGTCGTCTCTGCCGATCGTGGGCTCGTCGCATCATGCGACCTTGCTGGTCGTCGTCATTTCAGCCACTGCCGCCGCCGTCGTCGCGGCCATTTGGACGCAGTCGCTTGCGCAGGTCGCCAGTGCCGTCGTGATCGGGGCAATGCTTGGAGCGGTACTCGTGGTGACAGTTGCCCCCGAAACGGTGTGGAAGCACCTTGTCGAGCCGCGGGACCTGTTGCTCCTTCGTCACGTTTACGAAGCTCAAAGTAGCATGCACTTGGCGACATCAAACTCGAACGATTCCATGGTTGTTGCGGAGCTCTCGACTGTGAACGAACTCAAGCCGATCTCTTCCAACGTCACGCGGGCAACTCTGACGGTGGGAGGATGGCTCATTCAGTCCGCTGGCACGGACGCCACGTTGTTGACGCACGTTGTGAGTCTCAGCTTGAATGGATGGCTAACACCGCCCATGAACGAACGTGTGGTCCGCGCTCGCGTGTTACGCTGCCTTCCTGCCCTCGCGGCATATCTCAAGCACGCCCAGACGTTTGGACCGCATCTGGGCTATCACGACGACCCCTACGACATAGATGCCTTTGGTGATGAAGAAGCAGACGCCGAGCCCCCCGTCGACGACGACATGCACGACCTTCTCGCAACTGATCTTCCCTTTCGCAGCAGTGCTTCGACCACTGCCGCCGCCGACGTTTTCCACCCACGCCATTACATGCGCGCAGTTGTGCGGAATCCCACCGGTGGCGTGACCCTCACGGACAAGGACGTCGCCAAGAAACAGAACGGCGTCGTGATGGAAGTGCTCAAGAAGATGGGCGCCAAGATCCTTGATGGCAAGTCCGCCGTGAGCCTCTCGCTTCCCGTGCGCATCTTTGAACCTCGGTCGATGCTCGAACGGCTCGTCGACTTCTACATGTACGCGCCAAACTACCTCGGCGCCGCGAGCGATGCCGCCGACGACCCGGTCACTCGATTCAAGCTCACCATGGCATTTGCAGTTGCTGGGTGGCACCACGCGATGGGATGTGCCAAGCCGTTCAACTCGATTGTGGGGGAAACCCTCCAAGCAGCGCTGCAAGATGGTGCGACTGTGCACTGCGAACAGGCCGCGAGCAGCCCTCTTCCGATCGCATACGCCCAAATCGTGCACCCCAAGTACGCGTTGTCGTCATACGCAGTCGTGAACGTCGCAATGCACACCAACACATTCACCCAAGTCCAAAACGGTCCAGTGCGGGTCTCGTTTCCGGACGGTGGTCTCATCGAACTCAACTTGCCGTCGCTGCGCGTGAGCGGTCTACTTTGGGGCGACCGTGTCCTTGATCTCGTGGGCACGATCCACTTTCAAGACAAGGCGAATGGACTCGCGTGCGACTTGAAGCTGAACTTCGATGAACACAAGAGCATGTTTTCCTCTAGCAAACTCCCGACAGATCACTTTCGCGGCACTATCTTGCATGATGGAGAGACTGTATGCGATGTGACGGGGTCATGGCTCGACGAGCTGCGTGTGGGCGACGAAGTCGTGTGGAACTTTGAACGAGATTCGTGCCCGCCCCTCGTTCGCCTGCAGGACGATCAAGTGCTGCCCTCAGATAGCCGCAACCGCCCTGACCTCCGCGCGCTCGCCAGCTATGATCTGGAAGAAGCACAAGAGCGCAAGTTTGAAGTCGAAAACCTCCAGCGGTCGGACCGCGCGCTCCGCAAGGAAGGGCGGCGCCCGAATCACTGGACGTTTGCACTGTAGTTGGGATTTTCAGGATATTTTAAACTATTTGAATTTTCCATAGATTTGCTCAAATATATTACCAACATTCTCGTTGAAGAACAACAAGGGGAAAACGGCGGATGGCGACTGCGGCGGCACAAGACAGCGCACCTCCGGCGCCAGGCAGCGTCTCGGGCGAAGGTACACTAACTGGATTGTGCCTTGAAGCGATCGCTCGCCACATCTTTCAGTTCTACAAGTACGTGGACCAAGCTGGAGACAATGATGAACGAGTGATTTTGATGCACTAGCTCGCGACTGTTGGACCGCATGGACAGCACCACTGCGGCTATGTGCCAATCACTTTTGCATTCGTTTGATGTATCCATTCTGGAACGGCTGCGCGACGACGCCAAGTTTCCCGCGACGATCCTAGCTTCCCTGCCTCGCAAACCGTCCAAGTCGAGTCTCGGGCACGAGCACCGATTTGGCGAGCTCCTCTTTCTGGAGAAGCACTGTCTTTCCGCGCGGGATATCGTACGCATACCATTGATCCCTTAACAAGGAATCAATGCTTTGTCTGTGGTAGGATCGATTTGGCTTGGCGTTTGTTCAAGCCAAAGCCAGGACTTCAACGGCCTTGCCGGAATCCCCCGATGCGACCGAGCCGGCCGAAGTAGTATGTGCGCTTGACGCCTCGAATGCAACCATGTAGCTTGTTCCATGGTAGGTCGATCAGACGTTTTCAACGAGCCCGAAGGAATTCGCGTTTCCGTTGCCAGAAGAGCACCAAGAAGATGCTGACCCGTCGCCTACCAAAGACAACACCAACTCTGCCCGACCGCTCACGGCCATTGCGAAGCGCGGGATGCCCCTGACGAACTTTGGGGCCCACGCAATCGCTGTATGAGATGCGTTGGATCTGCTCTTCGTCCATGACGTTGTGTTGATCAGGACCTCCTCCAACGTTTCGACCGCATCGAACGGCTCAGTTTAGTGTCGTGTTGTATCGGCACCGCGGGGGCCGTCGTGCTATCTCTCGCGATCGCTGTACGTCACAATCCGGCCTTGTGCTTTGTGTTTCATGCCGTGTCTAGCACGTCAAGTGGTTGAAGGTGCTCGACCTCAGCAACGACTGGACTTCCGACTGTGGCAGTTGTCCGTACTCGAATCAAATTGGCGACGATGGAGCGATGGCGCTATCGTGTGCTCTTCGCACGAATGCGTCGGTGGTCAAGGTATATCTTGCTGTCCTGCGGCGCGCTCGTTGAGGTACTTTACAGGTCGTGCTGAGCGGCAATCCCATCGGACCACGCGGGGGCTACGCGCTCGCCGACATTGTGCGATGTAGCAACACGCTGCAGGTGCTCCACTTGAAGCAGTACGACTCGATATCTTCAAAAGGTCGCTGGTTGACGGCGAATAGGACCAAGATCAAGCAGGCCGCGACGGCCCTCGTCCGAGCGTATCAAGACTCGACGAGGTACATCGCGCCGCATGCTGGCTAGACCAACTCTTCGACTTTTAGTTTGCGCGACCTGGATCTGGAATGGTGTCGCTTGCCCCCCGGCATCGGCATCCACTTGAACCACGTGCGCATCTCGCGCAATTCAAAGGGACACTTGTCTGGTTAACTTAATGGTGGCTGCTTTGTCTCGGCACCTACTCGAGTCATCGTGGCGAGCTTGGAGGGACTTGGCGACGGCGCTCCGACTCGGCTATCGGAGACGTCTCGACGCTAGCCACGCCTCGTGCTCGCAAGGCTGTTCTATCGGTCATGCCCTCGGTGCACGGGTCGAACACACCGCCGCGTCGTGCGACGACTCGATCGATGCACTTGAATCGATTGTTTCCAGACCACTGCGCTCTGTATGGAGGCTCGGACAGTCAACATCCGTTGGCGACAGTGCTTCCGCTTCGGTGGGATCGACGTCGGGGGAAAACAACTTTGGAGAGTCGGATGGAGAAAAGAGTGCATCGTCGATCGAGAGCGGTCGAATCGAGGCAGCGGTGGGAGCGGCGCCCGACAAAGATTGACTCGACACGTCGTGGAGGAAGGCTTGCCCCCTTTCTTCAGCATCCCGTGTTAGCTCACTCCGATCGTGCAACGAGGTGTCCGTGGAGTCCGCAAAAGTCACGCATGACTCGTCGGATGGAGGTGTGCTATCTGCTGCGCTGAGGTCGTCGTTTGCAGGTCCGGTCGCCATGTCGTGATGGGCGCTTGGCTGTCCCTCGCACGTGTGTGCTGCCTCCCGAGAAGACGAGCTTTCGTCGGATGAAGGTGTGCATTCGTCGGCCGCAATCATGTCGCCGTTGGGGTGCGGAACTCGTTGGTGTTCCCGCTCGAGTTGCTCGGTTTCTTCCCAAGGTAATGAAGCACGATCTATGCACAGTGTGGAGGTTGTCATGTAGTTTGCAGCGTCGGGCGGTGCCGTTGTGGACAGCAACGTTGGCGAGGATGCCCCCGTTGTTGAAGTCCCTGTCTGTTTGTCATCGATCACGAACTGCATGAGCTCCGCTCTGGACGGTGTCGGCCTCACCGCTGCCTTGCTTGGAGATGCTAGCATTCCCCGGAGACCTGTGCTGCTCCGTTGAATGCGATCTCTCTCTACGTCTTGCGTGCGATTCTGCCGGAAGGATCGGCTTGGGGAGTGCTGTAAATTCTTGCGCGAATCTCGAAGACTGCCCCGGCTTAGAGAAGTCGATACGGTTCTACAAGACGCGTCGCCGGTGCGGAATGCAGACGCAAGTGGGGCGCCCGACGGATCGGCAGCCATCGATGCATGTTCATCGGCCAAGAGCAGCCTGTTGAGCTCGGCACGCGAATCGGATGGCACCAGCACAGCCGTGCTCGGGGAAGTTCGCATGAGCCCAACGAATCCTCCGTTGTCGGCAGTGCGCGAATCGGACAAGAGCAGTCGACTGGGATCCGTCCGGGATTCGGATGGAGCCAGCACCGACTCGCAGGGCGACGTACGCATGACATCGATGGTGCCCCCGTGATCGTCTTGCAATGAAGCAACGTGTTGATCGGATAAGAGGAGTCGGTTCAGTTCCGCCCTGGACTCGGAAGGCACCAGGACGGCCTTGCTTGGCGAAGTCCGCATGAGACCAATGCAGCCCGAGTTGCTGTCGTCGCTAGAGGAGGCGTAGTGCTGGTCCGCCAAGAGCAGGCGGTTCAATTCTGCCCTGGACTCTGACGGCACCAACACTGCCTGGCTTGGCGACGTTCGCATACGCCCAACCGTTGCCCCATGTCCATCGTCCGCCAACGCATCGACCGACGCGTGTAAATCGGCTAATATCATGCGATTCAGTTCGGCCCGGGATTCCGAAGGCACCAGGACAGCCTTGGACGGCGATGTGCTCATGCCTCGAAGGCCCGTCGCGCTGCGTTGCAGCATGAAGTCTCGTCCGCCTTCGACCATGCGCGGTTGCCGGAACGATCGACTGGTGGAGTGATGCAACATCATGGGGGGGTCCAGCTGGCCTCGACTTGGTGTGGCCTGCAGAGTCGTCGAATCCTGGCGGTCGTCGTGTTGACCGGTCGACAAGAGGTTCGCTTTGCTGGGAGAGACTCGCATGAGACCGACAACGTTTGTGTTCGATGCTCCATCGACGGCAGGTCGTGACACGGAGAGCGGCTTCTTCGCTGCTTCGAGAGCTTGCCTTGCAGCTTGCTGCTCTACCAGCATGAACTGATTTGCCTGGGAGGTCGACGGCACGATGCCGCCCCCTCGACTGGCTGAGATCAGCGACTCCACGTCTGCGTTGGACAGTCGCGCTTGTCGGAACGACGTGCGGGACGATGTTTGCAGCCGGGCAGTCGTCGGGAGGATCGCTTGCTCTTGGGAACCTCGGGTGAAGCTCGCACGCGTATTTCGAATTGGAATCGGCTTGGGCATGGGCGGAGTGACGTCGATGGATCCACCATTTTCTTCCATGTGGGACGCGACTGCTCCTTGGGTTTCGAGCAAAATCCGATTGAGGTCGGCACTTGCGTTACCGCTCAAGTCGGCGGTGGGCAGCGACAACTGCCGCGGCTGTACGGCTTTAGAGTGTAAAAGTTCGTGCGAGCGTCCGCCGCCTGGGATGGACATGCGAACTGGGCGGGACATGGACGCGGTGACATCGGCAGGGTGCGGTTGTGCTTGCACATGAGGTACAACAAGGTGAGGCGGGAGCTGTTGTGAAGCAGACGCATCGAGACGTAATGGCACCGATCCTTGGTTAAACGTGGCGCGCTTCCCGCGACCTCTGATCGGTGACGTTGGCCCTGCTGTTTCGGTTGTAGTGCCATGGACAGGGGCATTGTGCGCCAACGAAGGAACCTCAGCGCCGTCTTCCTGCGCGGGCAAAGTCAAGCCCGGGACTTCAAATGTGTCGCCACCGATGCTGCGCAGTCGATCTAGCTCTGCCTGTGACTCGGACGGATCGAGCACCGCCTTGCTCGGTGATGTGCTGAGCGTCTGCGTCAATTTGAAGCTGCTCCGTCCGTCGACTTGATCGATGCGACGGGCCGACCGAGTCGCGGAGATGTTGAGGAGTTGGGCAGTTTCGACGTCCGTGGCTTGCTTCGGCTGGAGGGTGTTGTCCGATGGGTCACTGAGTCGGTCGACAGCTGCGCGAATTTCAAATTTGCGCAAGGATGCGGCATTGGTGTTGGGCCCCTCGATAGCACTGGGGGAGCCGCTCTCGCCCAACACGGACTCGAGAATATTCGCAATGCCAGCTTGCTTTGACGACATGGTCGGAAAGACCGAGGGACTTGCGTCGCCCACAGCTTCCCGCAGCATGTTGGCGATGCTCGCTTCCTTTGACATGAGTTTCGACGGCAGTGGTTGGGCTGGTGTGGTAACAGTAACTCTTGCATCGTCGCCGACCGCACTTCTCAAGATTTGAGCGATGCTGGCTTCTTTCGTCAGCGCCTTTGACGACTGTTGCTGTGTTGGCGTAAGGACAAAAGCTGCATCGTCGCCCACGGCATCTCTCAAGATATTGGCAATGCTGGCTTCTTTGGTGAGGGAGGGAGCGGATGGGCGCGGCGGCATGGATCTTGGGACGACAACAGTCGCGTCCCCAAGCGCATCCTTGAGGATATTGCCAATGCTCACTTCTTTGCACAATGGCGGCTGCAGTTGCTGTTGCATTGCTTGGGCGGTGCTGTCTTCTCCAATCGCGGGCTGTACGGTCTGGGCGACGCTGGCTTGTCCTGTCAAGGGAGTATGGCCCTCTGGCCCCCGCAACGAGTCGTTGCCATCTGTGGCACAATAGGCGGGGCTGCTACGCCGTTCCTCGGATGTGTGGTCGGCATGTACATCATCGCATTCCGCTGCGTCCTCCAAAGTTCCTGGAATTGTCGTCTCGAAAGGTGGAGTGACAACGGGGGCGACCTGCACCATGCTCGGCCGCTTGGCTGGTCGCCAAGACGCCGGCTCTTCGTAGCATCGATCGCCGGCTTTGTTTATCCAATACACTCGTGTATCTGGCGCCAAGCACATCTTGTAACCTCCTCGCTCATCCAACACTGCGTCGGAGGTAGGTGCCAACGTTGACGGGGCAACGGGCCCTGCTCGACCGGCCGGTCGTGTCCCGCCAACTTGTTTGTCAGAGCCATGTGACCGCATCGTGCGCGTGTGGGTGTCGGCCACCTTGTTCACGCTCGCCTTGCCGCCCATGGTCCCGACTTTCTCCTCGCACGGTCGAGTGCTAATTTTGACAGTGGAAAAAGGTCATGAAACCGATCGCTTTCACTAACGCCAAAATAGATTCGTCGCATGGGTCGAACCCAGCGATATGCTCGAGATATTACAAATTCTGGACCGGCCGCCGTTGTTTGGCACGAAATAGCACCGCTGCCGTCCGACCTCCACTACTGCTCCCTGTACCAAAGCCTGCTTCCTGGGAATTGGGTTGCTGACGTGTCCCCGGCCGAATGCAGATTGCCGAGTGATTCTCGTGTTCCTTAAGGTTGCTTTGTCCGTTCAGATGGCGTTTGATGCAACCTCGGACACACTCCTTGCAGCGACACACTGGGTGCCGGCGACGCCGACCTGTTCAGGCTCACGGACGACGTAGTCATTGTTGGTATGGTCAACAGATGGACAGAGATCGCAAGCAATCGTTAGTTGTCGCCGCACGTGAGATGAATTTGTGGATGTCGCGTCGGTACAAGTTGGCGTCACAGCTCGGGGAGGCATGGACTGTTCCGAACCAAGCACATGCCAACTTGGATTTGTCGACGTGAATGTAAATAATCGAATTCAATAGGCAGAAAAATCCCAAAAATATATCATTTTCGATCATCGGACGAAAAGTCCGACTTTGTCGTTTGTCGGAAATATAGATTTTTGACAAATTCTGATTCAAATAATTTCATTGTTAAATTGACACATTTTAGAGCGAGCGACCACGATGCACTAAATATGGCAACGTAACGCAATCGACAACGGTGCAAGACCCGCGACACAATCCATTAGAGGAAGGCTCCGACAAGGGCCTCCACAGTGGTGTGTGGTACGTCGTCGCCAGGTTCCGAGAATCTGATCGTTCAGCCACGATGAACCCAGACGGGCCTCACCATGCCAACATGTTTCGGAACAAAGTGTTTAGAGTTTGTACTACACGAGTACAGGCGACGCCGCCGAGCTACCGATCAAACACGGAAGACTTGTGCAACTGTCTGAATGTTGCCCTCCCAACTGGGTTCGTCACTGACGCCGCTGCCGTCATCCTGGAAACATCTCAGATTCATATACGATCGGCTGCATTGCAACACAGGCATGTCACGAATTCGGGAATAAAAAGTCGATGTCACAAGAAAATGAATTTGCAAGTTTACAACATTTGGCGCAATGATTACCAGACGTATTGTATAAAATATAAACTTAGCCATCAAAATAAACGACGATTTGGTCCACTTTTCTAGTGGATTTACAGTTAGTTTAGGTTGATTATGATCCTTCTCTCACGACCGGACTGGGCGTTGACGACAGAGCCATGGTGTCGCCACAAGAGGTTGTTCATCAGGTTGTTGTCCTCGACAAGCATGCTTGAAGTGGGTACAAGAATGAGGCGTGGGCCGTCGTCTCAGCAACAACAACTTCGTGGCAAGCCGTTGGTTATTGAGCACACGCCGTCGGAGGAGAACGAGCTCATGGCGCATTTTAGCGGTGAATTTTTCGCGCGCGCGCTTTTATATGTCCGTCAAGCGTTTCAGGTCCATTTTGAGCAGAAAGTTATTCAAAATGAGTATCAATTTTTCGATCTTTTCGTTCATTTGGCATAGACAACTCGGTTCAAAGATTTTATATCACGTCAGAGGTTGCGCTTTTTTCGTTGGGAGAGAATTGAAAAATGGATGTTTACGATATGGCTGATTGTGAATACGATGGAGTGGCGCCATAATAAACATGTAGGATTTCGAGGTCGTTGTTGCGACTTCGTCCCAGACGATGGCTATCAAGGCTGATGAGAAGCAGCCACTCAAGCAAGATCTGGATATTACGTGTGGAATTTCTCTATGAACGTGCGTGTGGAAGTCTGCTGAGACCAGGGACGTATGGAGCCGTACCGTTATCTCAGCCTTTGTCAATGCAGCTACGTATTACCACTAATGCAGCTACGTAATACCACTATCACGAAGAGACTTTCGTCCTCCTGGGGTGTCACCGAACAAAATCGCCAGCGTCGGTTGCCTCAAGATAAGATTTTGACGTTTGCCCGCTTGGCGAGAATGCTTTGTCCGAAGGCGAGATGGTACGTGATGGCTACAAAACCCAAGTTACCAGTCTCTATCTTCACAAAAGTCTGTCCATTTTAGCCAACCAGAGCAGTGTGCAACTAGTGACGGCGGTGTATAAAAAGATAAAGGTTTCCGTGGTATCCGGACAAGTATGCATTGTCAGAAGCCGCGGCTCCAGTGCCAGCCATTTTGGTCCATTGGCGAATTTAGCGGTAGATGGTCATCGGCTCTGCACGGTTTGGAGGTCACATCGACACGAGTGTGTGGTCCTCTTCACGCAGCAGCCCATAGCGAGCTCGCTTCCTCATCCTTACAGTCACGTACCACGCGGTACTCATGCGACTGCACGGAACAAGTTGCGAAACATGTTTATTCGACACCATCATCGATTTGCTTGAACGACTGCTGCCAGGATAACCCGGATTTGTTGAGCGACTTCAGGGCAGTCGAAGGATAGTGTTGTGAGCTTGGCTAGAACAGGTACCATCCTGAGCTCGAGAACGACGCGACTCGAGTCTGGATATCTGTGCGTCAATGTCCAGAGCATCGACACTGCGAGTTGGGCGATGGTCGATCGTTCGTCCATTGCAATGTCATCCACTAAGGCATGGAATACCTCGTTCAGCGCTTGCAAAATGGGTTGGGCTATGGTGCTTGAATCTGGGACGCGCTGGGAAAGATGTAGCAGCAGCACCAACGGGTAGATGCGCAAGTTTGATTCGCGATCTTGGTCGTCGGCTGGGTCTTGGCATGTTCGTGCAACGTTGGTCGTAGAGAAGGTTGACGAGAGGGCATCGCACACTCTTGGGACTTGTTCGGCAATCTGGATCAAATACTTATCCGAAGACGAGCTCCAACGAACTATCCAGCCCAGCACAAAGCATGCGTCGCCTTGTGCCCACCGACTCTTGATTTGGATCATGCGAAGCAACGCCTTGACGATCGATGGTCCATGCCGCTCCATCAAGTTTGCTGCGGCAGATGGACACATGCAAATCGACCCTAGTGCGCTTGCACCTTTGCACTTGAGCAATACTTCACGACAACTGAGTGCGTCCACGACGTTTTGAACGGCGGTCGGGCCTTGTGCAAGCAGCATTCGCCGAATTTGACTACCTCGTTCGTCGCATTCCAGTGCAGCAAGTGCAGTCAGACCGTCAACAAAGCGTCCCATGTCTTCAGACTGCATGTTCCACTTGTCGCTGGTCTTGATGTTGAGCACGATGATGAGATCCGTCGCAAACCCATACGCTTCCATCTCAGAGTCCAGCGCGCTCATTTTACCGCGATACGCTCAGCAGCAGAGTCCGGTTGTTCCGGATAAAATAGTCGGATGTGAACAGAGATTATCCGGACGTTTTCGCCAACGTCCTCCATGCACAATGGCATCAAGCAGCTTGTGGGGCGCCCTGGCGGCAAACGTCGCCAGCTATGGCAAGGACCTAACGCAAGACATTCGGGACATCGTGAGCGGAGCAGACGACGAGCACATAGTTGAGAAGAATGAGAGTGTGGAAGTTACTGGACAAGACGAGGACCTGAGTGCATACATCGAAGACTTGGAACGGTCGTTGATTCGGAAGAAACAGGAATCGGAAGCTGCGTACAAAATGGTAAGACCGGGATTCCATCCATCGACGCTTTCAAGCGCAGGTAGATTGAAGAGCTGGAGGTGCGATTGTCTGAACGACGGGAGACTGCCAAGTTGCTCGTGGACGACACAGCTGTCAGCGAGGTATGTGAGGCACACCGTACAGTCTTCGATTCAAGAACCTCCGCGAACAGGCTCAACGGCAACTCCAAGCAGTGCTATCTCAGCAAAAACAGGACAAAGCTCGTCACGCGATTGAAATGCATGATGCACTTGCTTCCTTTGACGCTAAGCTGGCGGCGGCGACTCAAGAAGCGCACCGATGGCGCGTCGAGTCCGAACGGCTGCGCGCCAGTTCCACTCTCAAAGTTGCCGAAGACACAACGCCAAACGACTTGCCGTCGTCTGAATCTACAAGGGCCAGCGTTGAGACACATCCTGATGTTGTGGACGCCGCCGCCTTGTTGGCAAGCGTCCTGCACGCCGACGACCTCATCGAGGACGGTCCTCGCAAAGTACGGTGCCAATGCACGACATTTGCATGTTATCATGTCGACGATGATATCTAGTTGACCCATTATGCGTCATTGGTGTCGTCTCGGCTGGTGGCGGCCGAAGTCGATGCGAAAGCGCTGCAGAACGCTTTGACGACATTTCTCGTGGCCCAAGGCGACAGTGTGGACCAACCTGTGTCGTTGGCAGAGTGCAAACTCAAATTGGACCAGATTGGTATCGCCCGGCGCATGGAGCAACAGCGCTTGGCCGAGCTCGACCATGCAACATCCCAGTTCCAGCGTGACTTGACAGAGGTACCACATGGACGGAGTCGTCCTGACCATCCATCCACTCCAACACACTTTTCGATGGCTGCGGCTAGGTCACAGCGAAACTGCAGGCCTTGGAGCAGCGCCATAAAAAGGAGAGCCAAGATCAAGAAGACAAATACCGCCACTTACACGACAAACTCGCTCAAGTACGCGCATGCCCCAACGCGGGAAGCCTATCGATCGGCTGTCTCATCCGCTCGCCGTAGAGCCAAGCGAATGCAAACCACCTTTCGACCGAGTTGGAAGCGACAACGTGCGAGGTAGCGATCGTTACATGCATTTTTCTTCAAGTTGATTTGTTTGGACTGCAGTTGCAAGAGCTGCAAGCAACTGTGGCGATGCAAAGAGACACGGACGACTTGGTTGAGCGCAACATGGAGCTCGAGCGCATGCTGTACACGGTGAAGGACGAATTGGCGCAAGTGAAATCGCAGCTTACACTCGAACGAGCACAGTGGGTGCAGCACGAACGGGCCAACACCAGTGCGATCTCGGAGGCGCAGTGGTTTGAGCTCAAGTCGAATTTGGCACTCGTCGAAGCCGACAAAAACGTAGCTGAGCAGGTGTGCCGATCATTATTCCATGGCATGTGCATTCATGCAATATGCGGCAATGGAAGGACGCTGAGCGACTGCAAACGGAGCTTCTCAACTTACACGCGGTGTTGACGCAATTTCAATCTAGTCGGGAGGCTGAGGTACGTCATTTGGGCGCGGCGATATTCCTGATCGATATGGCCAGGAAATGCAATGGCGCGCCAAGGAAGCAACATGGACGTCGAAATGCGACACGTTGGAAGCGGAGGTGGCAGCGGCGCGGATGCGGCAGACATCAATTGAAGACGTGGACGTCCTCATGCAGTCGATGGCCAAGAAGGACTTGGAAATCGAGCGTCTTCGCAACGTACGTTTTCAGGATGCGAATGATGCAAGAGGGTCACAGCTTGTCATGACTAGGCGCTAGAGAGAAGTGCCGCGAGGTTCCATGGAGACACGGTGGAATCGGTGGACAAGCGCTTGATGGTCCAAATGTTGGTATGACCGCACGCATAAGGGTGCGAATCATGACGACCGAGTGTAGCTTCAACTTCACGAGAGTCCCAACAAGAGCGACGTGCTGGAAGTCATGGGCCGGATTCTGGTTCGTCGTCCATCCTCAAATGCTTGTGATGGTGGCGTTAGTCATGGAGATGTTTCCTGCAGGGATTCACCGCGGACGAGAAAGAACGCATGCTGGCACATCCAGGACGGCTCAAGTCAATTCCCTTGTTCGGCTCGATATTTGGTCCATCAAGTGTCTCAACACCTACGCCGTCAGCACCCGTGACCGTTGGAGAGAAGTCGTTCAGCGATGCCTGGGCCGACTTTTTACTTCGAGAAACAAAATAAGAATCGATTCATGGCAGCAGCAGTGGTGGCATCGCCGATGCTAGATCGGATGAAACAGTCTGCGGACCCAAGCGGGGAGGTCGGGGTGGTTCGGGTGCCGGCGGTGGTGATGGTTGGGATGACTGGGGCATGACAAGATATTCGATCGCCACACAAGCGGGGACAAGTAGTTGTTCACTCAGCTCTTTATGGTCACCACACCTCGACATGCATGACGTCGAGGCTGTCAACTTCCCAACATTCCGCTGATCTCGTGCTATCGCATCCCATAACGCATCGATATGATGTGGCGAGGCTCACTCGAACATCTTGAATTGTCGTCGACACGACTCCACAACGTCTGGACGTACGGAAGGATACTC